GAGCCTTTGCCTTTGCCCGCTCTGAGGCACTGACTTCTTGGAAACTGCGAAGGTCTCTTTTTTCTTTAGCCCTCCCTGGCCCCCTTCTAGGTGGAGGATTGATTGCCCTCTGATAAGGCCAGGCGTGGGGCACACACCTGTAATCCCAGTACTTGGGAGGCTGAGTCAGGAGGCTAGTCGGGGCTACATAATGAGACAGTCTCAAGAAATAAAAAAGTAAAAACTGAAAAAAAAGTAAAAACCTCAAAAAGTCACTCATAACACTTTTCTGCCACGGAACATTACACATCTGTGAACAATGAACAGGCAGCTGCTTCCTGCATGGAGCAGCAGCAACACAGAGGTAAATCCCTGTGCCGATGAGGGTGTGGCACCCGCCACACAGCAGGGACAGCCAGGTGACCGTGACTCATCCATGATGAAGATGCGTGGTATGTCCAGCACCAGGAGGGAAGGGGGCTGCTAAGAAACACCATGTATGTTTCTGCCCTGGGGCACAGAGGTGTGAGGCCCTGCTCCACCTACACTGGGAGCAGGTTAGGGAATTATGGATTTTCATAATGTTACAAATAAAATAATAAAATAAAAGCACCAGGTGTGGTGGCACACACTTGTAATGCCAGCACTCAGGAGGCTGAGGCAGGAGGACTGCCCCAAGTACCAGGCCAGCCTGGCTACACACACAGTGAGAACCTCATCTCAAAAAGCCTGTTAGGGCTGGGGATTTAGCTCAGTGGTTTCTCCACCTGCTGTGCAAGTGTAAAGACCAGAGTTTGATCCCAGGTACCAAAAAAAAAAAGCCTGTGAGTGGGCGAATTGCTAAGGGAGCGGAGCCAGGCCTCGGGCAGCACCCAGCAGGACTCCCTCCTGCACGGCCCCCATGGACAGGCAGCAGCCCCTTCAGTGGGCACTGTCTGCCTCACCCTCGGCTGGCTGTGGGCCGCTCCCCGCTGGGCGCTCTGCATCGGTGGCCCCCTTGCCCTGTCCCTCCTGGGCCTGCCCTGCCTCCCTTGCTCACCACTTCCTCTTCCCAGAGGTGTGCCTGTGTCTCTCGGCCTCTGCTTCCTCCCAAGCGCTGACTCCCAGCCCCTGCTCGCCAGCAGGCAGAGCAAACCTTCAGGCCTCTGCCCTCCGTCCCTGCCTCCGAGGAGCCAGGCCCTGTGTCTGGCTGGCACCCACATCCCTCACCAGGGGCCTGCCCACCCCGCCCCTTGTCCTGTGTGCTGCCTCAGATGGCTCTGCCAAGTCCAGGCGCCAGGACTGGACCCTGTCTCAAAAAAAAAAAAAAAAAAAAACCAAAAAAGAAAAAGAAAAAAAGGATTCGTTCCAGGAGTCAAAAGTGGGAACCAGCCCAGTTCACCAAAGTGCAGACAGATGAGAGCAGACAGGTGAGGGCCATCAGCCCAGTGGAACCTAACACAGCTCTGAAGTGACCAGGCTGCAGCTGGAGGCACCAAGAACACCGTGGGTGGCAGGTACAGGACAGGGGCTCTGTCCACTAGGGCTGACACTAGTGGCGCAGACAGCAGACAGGTGTGTGGCAGGACAGGGAGAGAGGCAGTCGTGGGCAGGCAGCTTCCTGCTGGGGTGCTGAGCGCCTTGGCCCTGGACCCAGAGCCGAGCCACAGGCCTCAGTGCTCGCGGGTCCCCAGTCACGTGACCTGCTTTTCCACAGCAAAAGCCATGAAAAGGCCGAGTGCACCGAAAGGGTGGGCCAGCCATCCTGTCCCCTCAGAACTGTTTTCCGGTCCTGGGACTTGAATTCAGGGCCTGCACACTGAGCTTCATCCTCAGCCTTTTATAATTCTTCATTCTGAGACAGGGTCTCCCTAAGTTGCCCGGGCTGGGTACAAACTTGTGATGCCCCTGCCTCAGCCTCCTAGAGTACCAGGCTTCTCAGAAACCATGCCAAGGTATGAGCCAGCAGGACCTGGCACGTCTGCAGCAGGGGCCTCACCCCACGGGGCCCCGGGGAGCCTTGGGACACTGGTGCCCTCAGAGGGGCAGAGCCAGACTCCGGGAGGTGCCCAGCCACGTGCTGTGGCAGAACTGAGGTCCCTGACGCCACCACCATGAGGCTAGGGCCACAGCCCAACGGGCAGAGTCCAGGCGGGGGTGGGCAGTGTCGGGTCTGGGCTGCCGGCTGATGCAACCTGCCCTGAGGCAGCCTCGGCTGGGGTGCCCTCTGGGCCTCACCTGGGAGGCTTCGAGCTCCCTGCAGGGCACTGCCGGTCCTCAGGGACAGCAGTGCTGCGAGCAGTGCCACAGCGCCCCCTCCAGGCAGGTACTACACCCTGCCTCGACCTGGACTCTGCAGGGGCTGGATCCAGCTGTTTCTTTCCAGATACTCCAAGCCTGTACTCTAGCCTGCACTTGAACTCACTATGCAGCCCTGGCTGGCATGGAACGCACTGTGATCCTCCTGCCTCAGCCTCCCAGTGCTGGTATTATAGGTGTGTGGCCCATGCCCATTCTGCATGTGGAGTCTGCCCATGGGGCCCAAGGGCTGTGGACACTCTTGACACCCCAGATCCTCTCTGCTCTAAGCCCTCCGCCCTCGGAGGAAACCGAAGTCCTCACTAGGTTGCTAAGCATACAAGGGACCCTGGCGGGCCCTGGCCCTCATCCCCTGGGCCTCACTGGACAGCCCCCCGCATGTCCTGCTGGGGTCCCCTCCCTGTGCTTGCTGCGATGTGGGGCCACAGCCTCAGGCTGGGCCTGTGTCCCACTCACTGGACGTTCCAGCTCCCGCTCCTCTGCTGCCCTGACCAAGGCCCTGGGTCCCCTCAGCGGCCACCTGGGCCTGCAGTGGTCTGCGGCCATGCCAAGCCCCAGGAGAGACCTGTGCGTGCGGGCTGGGCTGAGTCCGAGCCCCGGGCAAGTGCAGCCTGAGGCCACCGGCTGGGCCCTCAAAGTGGACAGAGCCTAAGTGGGGCCTATGGGCCCAGGAGCGGGCGGCCTCTCCTGAGCCTGAGCCCTGGCTGGTGTGGGCCGACCCTGGGGCATCTGCCCTGTGCTGCAGCCTTGTTCTCCCCTGTAACACAGGGGTCATGCTGGGGAGGAGCCCTTGCCCCTGGGGCTTCCAGCCCCACACAAGGGATGCACGCTTGTCCCCAGGCTGGGTCACCCAGTGCCAGGCCTGTGGGGAAGCCTGGTGACAGTCCCCCTCCATGGCAGAGCCCGAGCGAGCAGGGGCTCCAGGCCCTGGTCAGAGGCTGCGGCCACCTGCCTGACCTTCACAGGCGCCAAGGTGGCGGGGCGGGAGGGACGTGGGGGCAGACCAGGAGGCTGGGCATCACCTGGGCTGGCTGCCGCGGGAGGACGTGGCTGGGAGGGGCCCTGACTGCCACCACATTTCCTGTGGCCTTTGGGGCGGCCCGGGCAGGGCGAGGCCAGCACCGCTGTGTCCAGGGTGGTTGCAGCAGGGCTCTGGCCCACGCGGCTCTGCGGGTGTCGCAGTCAGGGACCTCGAGTGCTGCCTGCCCGCTGCTCCCCTCTGCACCCACGCGCTGGGGTTGCCGCAGGAATGAGCTGAGGGCCCAGCGCTGCGCGTAGGAAACTTTATTAGGGCTTGGGCTTTAGGACCACAGTGGACTGCCTGCAGGGAGCCACTTTAGTCCTGTGATCAAGGACGCGGGCTCTGTGTCCCCGCAGAGGGCAACTGTCCTGCAGCTTGGATGTGGGGCAGGGGGTGTCTGCTGTGGTGCCACGGGGACAGATGGGGACACGCTGGGCAGGAGGGGCTGCAGCCCCCGCGCCGTGAGTGAGGTGTGGGGATCTGGCATGTGTCGGAGCCCTCCTCCCCACGAAGAGGTGTGAGCAGACCCTTGTGTTACCTGGCCCAGCCCACCCACCACAGGACCTTTGCACGGTCCTGCCTCTCCCCGGCTGACTGTCCCCGAGGTCACTGCACTGTGGCTCTCTCCTTGGCTCTCTGCCACCAGGGGCAGCCTGGGTTCCTGAGCCCCTGGTCCCCAGGCCAGGCGAGGCTGGGAGTGCACCCCACACCCCCAGGTGTCCCCGCCTGCCCCAGACGCAGCACCCTGTCTTGCCAGCCCCTCTCCTTCCTCCCCAACCCCACTCCTGGTGCAGGGCTCGGGAGCCCCTCCACGGCCAGGTGGGTCTGTCCATGAGTCCAGGCCCGAGGGTCCTCGCCAGGTGCCTGGGTGGCCTGGAGAGCAGGGGTCTCACAGGGGCCCCAGCACCGCGGAGCGAGGACCTGGCTGGGTTTCCCGGGCAGAGTTCGATCTGTGGCCACCCTGGCAGGGTGTGAGCCTTCTGTGTGCAGTGGGGGAGCCGAGCTCCTGGCTGCTCCTCTTGTGCACCTCGCTATGACCCTGGCCGGGAGGACCAGGAGCCAGGAGGGACAGGGAGGCCAGGCCGAGTCGGGGTCCGGGAGGCTCCAGGCGGAAGCGGGGTGCACAGACCCGCACGGGGATCCTGCAGGTGGCCACTGGCTGCGGTCCGCACACGGTCTCACGGGGCCCGTGCCAGAGCGCCCAGCGCGCCAGGCAGCAGGGGTGGCAGGAGCAGGGGCAGTGTGCGTGCGGCAGCCGAGCAGGAGCACACGGCCGGCCCGTCCTGCGTGCGGCCCTGGGGCCCGCCCTGTGCCCCGCCCACGCTCACGCCGGCCCGGGGCTCCCCGCACACCAGCCAGTCCCGCGCAGTGGACTGTGGGTACCCAGCTGCCGCCTCCAGCTCGCCGTCCAGCACCTTCCAGTACTCCCGGCCGCGGAAGAAGTAGGAGGCCCCTGCCGGACGGAGGAGGGCGGCTGAGCGCGGTGGCCAGGGCGACAGGCACGGGGCAAGGGCCACGGCTCAGACGCAGGCCTGGGCCACGCCGGAGGGGGCGTCCGGGGCTCACTGGGACCCCAGCCTGGCGCGGAGGACGCACCCCCAGCCCGCGCTCACCATCGGACCAGCGCATGGCGTCGTCCAGCCTGCTGGGGACCCCCCTCCACAGGGGGCCCTGGGCAGGGTAGCCGGGGTCCATGCTCCGCGTGTGGTCGTCGTAGCGCCAGTACAGCTGGTCCTTGAAGAAGTAAGTCCGGTCATTGTGGGCCCAGGCGAAGGCTGCGTCCACGCCGCCTGGCGGGAGGCTGAAGTCGGAGATGGGCCGAGGGTACCCTTCCTCGACGTTGTTGTCCTTGAACACCCAGTATCGGTCTCCTGGGGGCGAGAGCACCAAAGCGCGCAGAAACAGAGACAGAGAGGGCAGTCAGGCTCGGCCCTGGCCTGAACACCCCTGCGCCGTCCTGGGCAGGGGTGGCCGTGGCAGTCGAGTCCTCCCTGGTGTGCACTGAGCGCCTCACACCACAGCTCTGGGCGGCTGGCTGCCTCGGACCCAAGCTCCGCTCCAGATGCCACTTAGGGCACAAGGGGACCCAGGAAGGGCGACAGCGCAGGACTGGGAGCTTCCCGGGCTGAACCCTGCTGCCCACGTGGTCTCCACACCTCCCAGGACGTGCACCGGACAAAATTTCAAGGCCCTCTGTGGACAAAACCTTGGGTGTCTCTAAGAAGACGTCCTGTCACCCCACACCAGAGAGGCTGAGGGAGGAGGGTGGCAGGGAGTTTGAGGCCGCCTGGGCTACACAGTGGGACCCTGCCTCATGAAACCAAGACTGAAAACCCAACAGGCCCTCTGGACGGCAGAGGGTGGACAAGGCTCGGCACACCTTGGTCAGCAGGAAGCACAGTGGACGCCAGCGAGCCTGCGCTGTGGACAGGAAGCTACTGCCGGGCTGAGGTCTGCAGAGCTCAGACCAGGTGTAGAGGAGGGGAGGGGACTCCTGGCCCCACACAAGGCTGAGCTCAGAGCACAGGCAGCCCAGGGCCTCAGGCCGCCCAACAGAAAGCAGGATGGGGGCCAGGGAGCCTGGGTTTCATGGGCTGGGATCCAGCAGGGAGGATCCACGGATGGGTGGCGGGGACAGCTGCATGGCACTGAATGTGTCCTGAACTGCACACTTAAGTGGTTAAAAGGACCAGGTGTAGTGGCGCAGGACTGTCATCCCAGTTACTCAGGAGGCTGAGGCAGGAGGATTGCCAGTTGGAAGCCGGTCTGGGCAATTTAAGAGACCATCTCACATTAAAAAAATAAAGGGTGGGGGCCGGGGATTTAGCTCAGTGGTTCCGGTGCCTGGCTTGCAAAGGCGAGGTCCTAAGTTCGATCCCCCGTACCAAAAAAAAAAAAAAAAGGCTGGGTGCAGCTGGTGGCAGAGCGTTTACTGGCATGGGCGAGGCCCAGGGTTCTACCTCTACTGGGAAACAGCAAGGATAACAGAAAAGGTTACAATGTTAAATTCATTACCTATCTTTTAACACACTGAAAATGAAGCAGAAGGGGCTGAGGTTCAGGGGTGGCACTTGCCCAGCATGGCCCTGGGTTTGATCCCCAGAACTGCAAACCATAAAGTAAAATAAGGTAAAATGCCAACAACTCTATGCAGCAGTCAGAGCTGCCAGGTCCCCGAGGGAGGCAGTGGCAGCCCAAGGCCCTTCGGACGGTAAGGAAACCGAGCCAGCAGAAGCTGGGCCGGGCACGGTGCGGGGGGGGGCCAGGAGGCGCACAGGGCCTGCCTCTCTCCAGGGAGCTGCTGCAGTGAGACGCAGCATCCACAGGCCCAGGCACCACCCTGGGCTTTGCAGAGGACCCAGGAGTCCCTGTCCGCCCTGTCCAGCAGCAGCCTGGAGGGGCCCAGCCACCCTGCACGCGCGAGTTATGCTCCTGTGCCCCACGGGGCTGGGCTGTGGGGGGTGAGCCTGTGGGATGAGGCGGCTGGCATGGTGCCGTGGCCGGGAGGGTGCACCCAGGTCTGACAGCAGAGGGCGGTGCTTCGCAGCTGCCCTGCCCAGGAGAGGGACGCGGGCACCCGCTGCTCTTCACCACATCCGGGTTTTCTGTTTCCAATGCAGTGCTTGTTCTGCAGTGCAGGGGACTGAACCCAGGGTCTCTGCACTGAGATACATTCCTGGAGCCTGCTTTATTTTTATTCTGAGACAGGGTCTCCCTAGGTTGCTCAGGCTGGGTTCAAACTTGTGACCCTCCTGCCTCAGTCTGCCAGAGTGCTAGGGTCACAGGCACACTCCACCACCCCTGGGTCCAAAACAGTTTTGATGAGGAGGTTCTTTTTTTGGTTTTTTGGAGACAGGGTCTCACTGTGTAGTTCAGGCTGGCCTTGAACTCGCAGTGATTCTCCTGCCTCAGCCTCCCGAGTGCTGAGATCACAGGTGTGCGCACCATGGCCAGCAGAGGTTCTGTGTAGGGACATGGGAGAGTCTCCAGATACAGTGGGTGGGAAAGGCAGGGGGCACAGCAGTGCTCAGGGAAGAGAACATGATCAGGAGCCCAGGCCCACGGTGTTCCAGCACAGCTGTCGGAACCGTGACGGCTGCTCTCGCCAGGGGCACCCAAGGCCCGTGCGGCACTGAAAGCACTCGGCAGGGGTCACCAGGCAGGTGCTGGACGCGAAGCCTGTGCTGTGGGTGGGTCCTGTGGGGGGCGGGAGCACAGGGGGCGGCCCCACCTCCGCAGATGGGGCATCCTGGGAAGGCGGCTGCCCTGGAAATGGGACCACAGGTTCCTCACTGGGGAGCAGGTGGCCTGGGCCACGTTGAGACCCGGGTGGCACGGAGTCCACCGGGCGCCCGCGCTGATGTGGCCCTGGCCTGGCTGTGAAGTGAGCAGGGCCTGGCTTTCCTCCAGCTGCCTGGTGCCGCTGTTCTACCTTCACCCTGAACCCAGAGCTGGATCCGAGGTAGAGCTGGTGCAAGCCCAGGGACCAGGCTCTGGGGCCCGCCTAGGGATGGGCACAGGGTGGGCCTGATAGAGGCTGCACCCTGCCGTGCCCTGCCCATTGCTGCCTGGGTCCTGGCACAGGCTGTGCCCAGGCCTGGGCTCTGCCCCACATCTTCATAGGGGGCCTCATGGACGTGTCTTCCCCATCCCTGACTCTCCTGATGCCGACGGCCCCTGCAGGAGGCAGGACGTGGCCTGCTCGGCCTGGGCACATAGAGCAGGGACGTGGCGCCCGCCCACCTCGGAAGAAGACGATCTTGTGGTCACTGGTGCGCTCGTACACGGCGTCCACGCCGTCCAGGTGCCGTGGCAACCCCCGCCAGAAGCGGTGCATTTGCGCCGGCTGCAGTGACACCAGGTGCCGATCCCGCGTCAGCCGCCAGAAGTACCTGCCTGGGGAGAGAGGGGCTGGGCGGCCGGGCCAGCGGCCAGGCTTCCCCTCCCCCGTGTCCCCGCGGCTGACCTTTGAAGAAGAAGGCTTCACCTCGGATCTGGGCCACCGCATCGAAGTGGGCGCTGCATCTGTGGGGCACGTCCCTCTGGGGCCTGCAGGACACAGTGCAGGGCGGCGGTGCCCGACTCGGGAGCAGGGCTGGGCCCCAGCCTGGGATTCGGCAGCGCCGTGTCCCTGGGGGAAGTCGGCTGGCTATGCCAGGCTCTGCCCCCGGCCGCTGGTAGCACAAGTAGGAAACCCAGTGCTGGTCCCGGACCTGCTAGCCAGAGCAGCGCCAGGGTGGGCGCCGGCCCCACATGTTGGGGCCTGGGTTCCAGCCCCGCCTAAATTCAGAAAAGTCTGGGATGACAACAAAGGCCCACTGGCAGGGACCTAAAGAGGCAGCATGGCCTGCCAGACGCGGGCGCAGGTCTGGGGAAGAGGTGCCGGGGCCGAGGGGCAAGGCTTACGCGGTGCTGGAGCGATTGTCAGGGGGCTCGGGCAGCGGGGGAGGCTCCTCGGGCTCGGGGGTGTCCGGCTGTGCCGTGGGGGACACGGAGTCCCGCACACCTGGGAAACGGGGAGGCTGCGCTGATGTGGCCCTGTGCATCCAGGCTGTGGGCAGCGGGGGTCTGTCCAGACCTTGGGGCCGGCCAGGGCCTCGGGGTCCTGAACAGCAGGGCGGGGCCCCAGACTCAAGAGCTCGGCCTGGACAGACAAGGCCCAAGGGCAGGCGGTGCAGATGGGCACCACACTCACCGCCCCAGGCACAGGCGCAGAGCAGGCAGTCGGTAGCCCCCAGGCACGGGGATGGTGTGTGTGTGTGTATGCCTGGAACACGCGCAGGCCATGCTGGGCTCGGGCTGCACAGGCTGCAGCAGGCACTGGGATGGCCGTGACCCAGGTTCTGGCCGGACAGGAGCTGTCTGTGCAGCTGGTGACCGTGCTGGCCACCAGGGCCTGGACACGGTGTGTGCTGAGGTAGATTTGACCATCAAAGCAGCAAGCAGATGTCGGGAGACACAGAGGAGCCCAGGCAGGCTGGGGTGGGCAGCCTGGCACACTGAGGCCAGGGAAGGCGGGACCGTTGGCCTCAGTCCTGGGTGTCCCAGCAGGGAGGGTCCTGGAATCTTGGCTTTTTTCGGTTTTTGAGGCAGGATCTCACTATAGACCAGGCTGGCCTTGGGCTCCCAGCAATCCTGCCTCAGCCTCCCGAGGGCTAGGGTTACAGGTATGTGCCAACACGGCTGGCAGGAATCACGGCTTTGTATTCTCCTAAGCTCCAGGTGCTCTGTCCTCCCCTGAATGTGGGGAGCCTTGTTCCCACAGGCCTGGCCACTTCGCCGCTGCTCCCAGGACCTGTGAGGATGAGGGCCCGCGGGGCTTCCCCAGCCGAGGACCAGGGAGCTGTGTGCCCACCCAGGCGGCTCTGCTGCTCCCCCTGGTGGCCGTGTCGGCTGGGGACACTCACCGTACAGCTGCCACACACGCACTCGGTCCTCGTAGGGGAGTCCGTAGCGCAGCGGGTCACCCACGGGGCCCTGGTAGTAGGGCTGCATGATGGAGCCGGTGGCAGCCACGTGGCCTAACCCGATGGCGTGGCCAAACTCATGGACGGCCACTGCGAACAGGTCCATCCCGTGTGCATCTGGGGACAGGGACACGTGAGCCACAGGGCCATGCCCCTTGCCAGCGCAGGGCTGGGCCTGACAGGACCCTGTGGGCTGCTGGGTCTTGCCCAGGGCCACCAGGGTGAGTCACGGGCTCCTGCAGCTGCATGGTGGGGGCACCTTCTTGGGTCTTGTGGGCGGTTTTGGTACTGGGACTGAGCCAGGGGCCTTGCACTGAGCTACATCTCTAGCCCTTTGGAACTGAGTCTTGCTAAGTCGCAATGCTCAGACTTGTGACTCTCCTGCCTGTTTCCCGGAGTGCTGGCATCAGATGTAGAGCCTGGCCTCCACGCCAGGCTGCCTTTTCCGCACAAGACCACCAGGTGGCGCTTCGAGTTTTGCAGCCCCCCCCCCCATCCCCCACATGCAAAGCTCCGGGTGTCCGGCCTGGCGCCAACGGTTGAGGCCCGCAGGGGGCCTGGGTGAGGTCGGCCAGCTGGACCAGGTCCCTGGGGCTCAGCACACCCCGGCGGGCCCTGCCCAGCGAAGGCGACTCAGGTCCCAGCCCCCGCTGCGTCTCGGCCTCCCGGCGGGACGTCAGCCGAGGCGCCCCCCAACTCCGTGCCCCCCACACGTACCCGCGGAGCGGAAGGTCCAGGCCTCATCATCGTCAAAGTGGGCATCCCCCGCGGCGTGGCGGTCGCCAGGGAAGAAGGCGTGGGCTACGGTGCCGCCAGGGCCGTCGAAGGGGTAGCGGTCGTTGTGCTCAGCCCGGGAGAAATCGATCTGGAGGTCGGCCGTGCTGCCCGCCACCTCGTGGAAGTTGAGGGGCGCGATGTCGCTCCACACCTTGAGCGCGTAGTACATGAGCGCCCGCACCGTGTCCCGGCCCAGGGGCGAGTCCCGGGGGAACGTGCGCACCCTGGGGAGGTTCGGGCTCAGTGGGGTGCTGGGCACCGGGCTTGGCCACCCGGCCTGGTCACACCCTGGGGACAGGAGGGGCCTGTCCTGTCACCTGCAGCCAGGACGGGAGCGAGTGGGGACCCCGGACCAGCCCTGGCCACACGCAGGCCTGGACTCCAGGCCCCAGGACAATGCGGGTTGAGCAGGGACCCAGCTCCGCTCACCCACCTCCAGGACAGGTTCCGCTTGCTCCACTTGGTCGGGGCCTGGGCCTGGCGCCTCCTGCGTGACCGGGCCACGGGGGGCAGGTCCGGGAGAGAGCAGCGTGGCGTCCGCATGAGGGCCAGGGTAGCCGGGTCTGCAGGGGATGGCAGGCGGCTGGCTTGGCTCCGGCCCTGAGCTTGGTCCCCCCTGGGCTGGGTGAGGCTCACACTGGTGGCCCCGAGCCATTGGGGTGGGGGCATGTGACTCACCCAGGACACCCGTGGCCTCCAGGCCACCAAACTGCTGCATGGCGGAGATGGCTTTGGACAGCTCCTCCTGCGTCTGCAGCTGCCCAGTGGCAGGGTCGGCAGCAGGCAGGTAGCCGAACCTGCTCAGCCACTCCTGGGGCAGAGAGGGGGCCAGGGTGTAGCCCCTGGGGGAGGAGCCCACACCCTGCCCTGGCCCCAGCAGGCCCCTTCCTAAGCCCCCTCACAGGCCTTTAATCTGCCAGGCACCGAGCAGGCGGGGGTGGGCTTGTGCAGTGCACAATCTGAACAACTGCTCAGAGCAGCACTGCCCCACCTCGGTCCTCCTGGGGCAGTAGACCGCCCAGGGAACATTTAAGAAGTGAATCTGCCTAATGTGGTGGAGCACCCATGGAGTGCCAGCAGTCCGGGAGGCCGGGGCAAAAGGATTGCAAGTTCAAGCCCAGCCTGGGCAATTTAGCAGGTCAGTGAGACCCTATCTTAAAGAAGAAAAAAAACCCTTTTGTTTATACGGGAATCGAACTCAGGTCCTTGTGCTTTCGAAGCAGGCGCTGGAACCACCGAGCTAAATCCCTGGCCCAAACAACAACCTTTTAAATTTTTTTTTAATTTTTTTAGTACTGGGGACTGAACCCAGGGCCTATTTTATTTTCATTTTGGGGGTGTTTTTGAGACAGACTCTCACTATGTAGCTCAGATTGGCCTTGAACTCACTGTGTAGCCCAGGCTGGCCTCAAACTCATGGTGATCCTCCTGCCTCAGCCTTTTGAATGCTGAGATTATAGGTGTGCACCACCACACCAGCTGGGCCTTTTTAACTGTTTATTTGAAACCGACAGGGTCTCACTTGATTGCTCAGGTTGAGCTTGGAACTTGGAACGCTCAGTGAACAGACCCTGAGCTGCCAGACGGTTGGCATCTGCCCCAGCGTTGGCCTTGCACCACCAGAGGGCGCTGCAGGCCCTTGTGAAATCCCAGGCTGTGGCTCCTTGCTGGCGGGGCTGGGGACCCCCAGGCAGCGGTGGGTGGGTTCAGCGGTTTGGGGTGCTGAGCGCCCTCCCTCGTCCCCTCTGGACCGGCAGGACCCTGGTGTGTGGCCCAGCTTACCCCCGGCACTGTGGCTGATGGCAAGGGGCCACAGCGTGGGCGTGGGGCAGCCACGGGCAGAAGCCACGTGACACGAGGGTGTGGGGCTCCGCGCACTTTCCTACAGTGTCACCGCCGTGCTAAAGTCTGAGCCTGCAGTTTCCTTCCAGACATGAAGTGGCAGGCACGCTCATCTCCACAGCCCGCAGGCCAGGCCTCAGCAGAACCGCGACTCCAGGTGAGGGGCGCAGAGGGACAGGTCTGCGTCAGGCCCAAGGGCTCCCGCTCAGCCTGACCCTGGGAGCTGTGGTGGCCCTGAAGCCTGGCCGTCCCGCGCCCACAGCGCGCCCTCATGGGTGGCCCTGTCCTCCAGGACTGACTGCGGACCAGCCCGGGGCCGGGAGCACCGGCAGCCGCCAGTGTGAGTGGATGCGCAGATGGGGCCCGTCTCCGTCCCCTCCCCAGCGCAGGCCACACAGGCCAGGCAGGGACCAGACGGAGCCCGAAAGGGCCCCGAGAGCTGCCCGCTGCCTGGCCAGCCCAGCACCTGGAGTCCAGGAAGGCTGTCCCGCCCGCTCGCTGGCCGCTAGTCCTCCCTGCTGTCGCCACGGAGACAGACCGCTGTCTCCAGGGCAACAGAGGCTGCAGGAGGCGGGCTGTGCGCGGTGCGAGGTGAACCTCCCAGAAAGCCCGGGAGTGTGTGGAGCCACCCTGCGGTGGCGGTGCTGCCTGCGTGCCCGTGGCCTGCAGCAGGCCACACGGCAGGGCCACAGGGTCACCGGGCCCAAGGCAGGGGATCCCCGCTTGCTGGCACAGGCGAATGTCTTCATGCCACAGCCCCCAGGCTCCGGGCTCAAGGGCCCGTCTGTCACCCTGACACAGCTCTATCGCAGTGAGATGCGGTCTCAGCTCCTTCTGCGATTTCAGCAAATTTACAGCGAGCGCGGCCTGAGCCGCAGCTGTGCCGACTTGTCCCGTGGCCTCCTGGTCCCGGCCCCTGCCCCGCTGAGCTGATGCCTGCCCTGCTGTGAGGGGCAGGAGGATCGCCCCCACTGCAGACGAGGAAACTGAGCCCAGAGGCCACCGCAGGCCAGGATGGGTGGCCCTGCACCCCACACCCGGCACGGACACTTACACAGCCCTGACGCATGGCCAGCCGCCACCGCCCTGCTCACGGAGCTACTCCCCAGGGAGAGGACGCCCACTCTGCCTTGTTGGGTGACTCCTTTCCCAGCATCCCCAGAGTGCCCCCTGCCTGTTCTTGTGTGCCCATGTGCCCGCCAGGCAGGGTGCTGGGGCCACCAGGCCGACCCTGTCCTGCTGTCTGTCTGGGGCGACAGCCCCCAGCCCTTCCCACTTGGAATCTGCTACCACTGCCCCAGCCTTGGGACACAGGGGTGCTGGGGTCCCTGCTGAGCTGGGCACACAGTAGGCGCTCCATATAGGGCTGTGGGTGCTGCTGCTACCCCATCTCCAGAGGAGGAAACCGAGGCACAGGGAGGCCAGGGTACAGCCACACAGCCAGTGAGGAGCACAGCTGGCTCCTCTGCTCGACTGTGCAGCTGCGGGGAGGTGGGGCGGGGGTCCGAGTCAGGGCACCCAGGGACACACTGGGCTCTGAGTGAGCTGTTTGCCTGCTGCACTGGCCCATCCTACCTGGGCCAGGCTCGAGCGTCAGCATCACCGAGCAGAGCCACCAGCATCTCCGCACCCATGGGAGCCCAGGACACCTGCCTGCACCTGCCCAGCCCTGTGAGGGCCGCCCACCCAGTGCACAATGGCAGCCAGTTCTCCGGGGCCACCACACAGAGGCCAAGGCCGGGCCTGGCACGGGTGGTGTGGTGCTCAGGGCTGTGGGCCCGTCCACTTCGCAAGCCACATGGGTGGCCAGGCAGGGGCCGGCACAAGGACACAGAGAGCCACTCCTCCCCACAGTGCCTGCCACTGTCCCCAGTTCTCAGGAGTTGTGCCCAGGACGTGTGGCCGAGTCCTCGGGGCAGGGCTGTGTGTGGGGGGGCGGTCGAGGACAGACGCCGGGGGTGCAGGGGGCAGGAGGGGACGCGCCAGCTCCCACGACCCCAGTCTGTTCCCCTCGCCAGCCTTGCCTCAGCGCAGGCTCCGCAGGCGTCCAGGTGGAGACAGCCATGTGGGGACCCGGGCTTGGTCGCTGGGGTCGCCTCGAGGCTCCCCACCGCCCTGCACGCTTCCCAGCGTATTCCTGTGTGGAACAACTCCTTCCTGCTAGGACCTCCGGTCTGCTATCTAAGTGAGCCGGAGGTTGGGGTGTTTGGGGATGGATAACCGAGGACGCTGCCGCTGGGCTGGCGGTGAAGAGAAGGCTGGCAGACCACAGGCTCTGGGTCCGAGTGGCCACGCGGGGCTGCACTCCGGAGGGGCGGCCTGCGCAGAGCCCCTCAGGGTGGGACAGGTCCCAGGGGGCGCCATCCTGGAGCAGGCAGGGCCAGATGGCCGGGTGCGCTCCAAGGCCGACCGCGCCTCACAAGAGCAGGGTGCGGGCGGCAGAGCCGAGGAACCCGGCCGACCCCACACTGTCCCGGGCTCAGGGCTCCGGCGGGGACACCAGGAGGCTCGCGCGTGCGCCCCGTGTCCCGGGCCTCAATCCCCGCTCTGTGTTGGGAGAGGACCCCGGGCGGAGGCCCCTCCCGGGTGCCAGGAGGCTCAGGCACAAAGGCTCCCTTTTCTTCCCGGCGCTCAGACCTCGGCCCCGGCGGCCCGCGGGAGTCTGGAGGCCCGGGAGCCCCCAGGTCCCGCCCACCGCTCCGGCCCCTCGTTCCCCGAGGGCCGCCAGAGGGCGCCCCTACCGCGCTGGGAGCAGCAGGCGGCGGATCTGCGCGGGGTCCCGGGCTGGCTGTGCGCCCGCTGGGGCTGCTACGGGATCCTGGTCCTCGCCCGGCCCCCCCCCCCCCCCCAGGGCCGCAGACCGGGCGGAGGGGCGCTGGCCCAGGCTGCGGCCGGCGGGAGCAACTTCCCCCGGCGCTGACCCATCGCGCCGCAGCCGGGGTGCCCTCCGCCCGTGCGGCCCGACGCCGAGGGTGGGGCGCAGTTGCGGGCCCTGGGCGGCACGGTGCCCGCGCTCCGCTGGTGGCCCGGGTGGCGGATCGGCCCTCCGACCCGGGACGGTCCTGAAGCCGGGGCCACGGTGCCGCCGGCTCTCGCGTCCCGAGCTCGACACCGCGGGGCGCTCGCCAGGAGGCCCGGGCTCCGCTCCGAGCGATGCCCGCGCGCCCTCCGGACCAGCTAGGAGACTGCGCGTCCGCCGGGCCCCTCGGGTCCCCGAGCCGCCCCACCACCGCCCGTCCGCCCGGCCTGCGCGCCCGCGCTAGGAGTCGCACCCGGCCTCGCACGGGCCCCACGACGCCCGGCCTCAGTTTCCCCCAGCGCACTCACCATCCCCAAGCTGAGCTCTTCGGCGCGGGGCGCGGGCGCAGCGTAGGTCCCGTGGGCGGGCAGCGCGAACAGCAGCAGCAGCAGCGGCAGCGGCGGGCACGGGGCCGGGCAGCGGGGCGGCGGGCCGGGGCCCCAAGCTGCTCCGCGTACCATCCCGCCGGCTGCGGCCGCAGGACCAGCTCCGCAGGACCAGCTCCGCAGCGCCCGCCCGACTGAGCCGCGCGGCGCCCACCCGCCGGGGCGGGGCCATGCAAACGAATGCTAATGACCGCCCGCCCCGCCCGTCGCTTTAAAGGGCCCGCACGCCTGCGGCCTGCTCCCTCTCGGCGCTCCGCATGGCCGGACCTGCCGCACGGCCCCCGCCTACCGGGGGCGGGATCATGCTAATATTTGCAAAATACCCGCTGGTCCGCTGGGCGCCTTAAAGGGCCCGCGTCCCGCCCACCAGTTCGAGCAGGTCCAGGTCTGTGGCGCGGAAGGTGGGTGCGCACCGTGGGGTCCCGGAGAGCCCAGGCAAACGTGCGGGGGTCGGGGGCCCAGGGGCTTCGGCCGCCCTCGGGGAGCAGACCCTGGACCCCTGAACCCCCACTCCACTCCGGCCCCCGAGGTCCCGTTCAGAGCCGCGTGGAGGGGGTGGGCGAGCGTGGGAGGGGCCGAGCACGTGGCCCCGTGCGTCCCGGCGACCGGAAAGGGACGCGCAGCCCACGCGTGTCGCGGGCTCGCGCGTACCTGGTGCGTGCTCGGCGCCTTCCACGGTTTCCTTCCTGTCCCACAGCCTCATGACGTGGAAACCGCAAATCCCAATTGCAAAAAAAGAAACAGGCCCAGAGCGATGTCGCCCCGTGCGGTCACAGCCGCAGGTGCCCGGACTGGGTCAGACCCTCGTGACCTCGGGACAGATTGGGGGGTCCCCGCCGGGGTCCAGCGGTTCAGGGTCTGCAGAGTCGCCTCCTGCCTGGGCCCCAAGGCGGCAGGAGCGGCAGGCGCAGCAGGTTGGGGAGGGGGACGGGCTTGGGAGCTGAGCGGGCCGCAGGGCCGCGGAGCCTTCGCTGTGACGAGGGCATCGCCTGCAGTGGCCTGGCCCAGCTGGCGGGGAAGGGCCACGCAGGAAAGCATCGCTGTCCAGGGGTGGCTGGGCCCAGCTTCTCAGCTGGCGCCGGGGACTGTGGCTGCATGGGGGACGTGGGGCCCTCGACCGCAAACTCGGAGATGCGGCCTCGCGCGGAGAGGGCATGGGTGTGGGCACCTACTTTAGGGCCTGCGGTGGGTCCCCTGAAAGGCCCGGAGGCAGCTGCTAAAATTCAGCAAGTAACACCAGGCATGGGGCACACCTGTAATCCCAGGACTCTGGGAGGCTGAGGCAGGAGTATCGAAAATTAAGGCAAACGAAATTTAGTGACTTAGACAAAATAAAAAATTAAGATGTGATGTGTCCATGTACCGGCTCCCCATGATGAATGTAATTATCACCCACTGCACACATTTACTAACATTAAACATCTGAAAACCAGAAAATCCTAGTGTTTTGTAAAATTAATTGGCATTAATAAAAATATGTATTTAAAAATAGGCAACAAAGAAAAAAATAAAATATAAAAGGGGCGGGGGATGTAGCTCAGTGTGAAGGCCCAATCCTAGTATCACAAAAAAAGAAGAAGAAACCAGAAATGGCCCAGGCGCCACCCAGAGCTGCCTGGATGAGCGGAGCTGGGGCTGTGCGTGCGTGCGTGTGGCGTACGGCGGGCTGGCCGTGGTCCCGGGCCTGGGTGGCCTGGACTGCGTCACTAGCCATGTCCTGTAGGGGGAGACTCGGGGCCGGCTGTGGCTGTGACACTGCCTGTGGGGCTGTGGCCTGCAGGGCGCTGGGACCTCCAACTGTCCCGAGGCGCTGCCAGATGACTCCCAGGGAGGGCTCTGCCGGGGACAGCTCCAGGGCAGGTGGCCGAGGGCCACAGGGGCTCGGCCCATGGCAGCCTGCTTTGGAGCCTGCCCCAGACCCCATGCTGCTCGGCCCTGGTCCGCTGCCCCGAGCTCAGTGTCCCGAGTCGTCCTTCCACACCCTCAACCCATGGACACCAGCGTGGGTCCCCACCACGAAGCCACCCGGTCCCAGCCACGCTCTGTGCAGCTGTCACCGCTGCCCACCTGCAGGATACTCATCCTCCCAAACCGCATCTCGGCCGGTGGACAGACACTGCCCTGTGACCAGCCAGCCCTCCCAGGAGAGCCAGGCCCACCGTCAGGACTTTCCTTTCCCAACACTCCCTGCCTTGGCACCAGATCCGCAGCTCCCCTGGGCTCCTAGGCTTCCTCGGCTTCACACCAGGCCGGCCAGGCCGGCCGCACTCCGCTGCTGTTCAGGGCCTTTTCTCCTACCTCCAGCAGCTTGAAGCCCCAGGGGCAAACACTGGCCTCAGCCCCACTCAGCCCTGAACCCTAGAAGCCCAAGCAGGGGTGTGGGCGGCATTCTTTGGTGTCTTCCAGAGCAGCTTCAGGTGTCCTTACCCCAGAAGCACACAATAATGAGAAAAGGAGATAAATCTCAACATCTTGATTTTATTAAAGTAAACAAGCATCACCTTTGCAAACTTTGAATTCCCGTTTCAGCTATGCATTGCCGAGGAAATAAAATAACAGCATCAATCCCCGTATGACATTGAGGAGATCAGCTGAGTGCCATCATGGCGCCCGCCCCGTCGAGTGGCAGCAGGGCCACCATGCCGCCTCAGTGCCCACGAGCCCCACAGGCCGATGGGGGTGTGCAGGGGGTGGCCACCCGAGCACAGGCCCTCGCAGCTGGAAAGGCCCCGTCTGGCTGGGTTTGCTTTACAGGAAGCCTCTAGCTTACACGGAAGAACCAGGGCAGCCGAGGCTCCCCCCCCCCCACCTCAGGGGCCTGAGTCCCCAGCAGGCGTCACCTGTTGTTGCCCTCTCCTCAGCTCCCTCGGCTCCTGCTTCCCAGACTTCCTGTGCCAGTGACCTTGGTAGCAGTCCAGTGACCTTGGGGTGCTGAGGACAGCTGGGCTTTGTCTGGAGGTCTGCCCAGGTGGCCACGCTCCTGTCTGTCACATAGGGGCCGCGGCTGGTGCCCACCGGAGCCTGGCAGAAGCCCACGTGGGTGGTGGGGAGTCACCATGTGGCCACCTCCCTGGCACGCGGTCGGGCATCCCCGAGGGCTTCTCCTCCCCATGTGCCTTTACACCATCGAGGGCTCCAGGATGCTGACCTGACTACAAACCCAGCACTGCCCTGACTTCTGCAGCCAAGCCCTCTGATGTGGCCTTGTCTTCCCTCGGGAACAGGAGGCCTCAGGCTCCACCGGTGCATGTCCCGCCCACCTGGGACAGCTGGATCTCCTGGCCCCACTGCACTCCGGGCTGGGTGTGCTGCAGGGCGTGGCTGGCCCTGTGCACTGCCCTCTACGTGCTGCCACCCTCACACCTGTGTTGGCCCAGGACTCCCCCTTGGGTCTCCTCCCCAGCCCAGGGCAGCCCTCTGCCCTCTGCTTCTGAAGCACACATAGCCCTGAGGCTGCACCCACTGATGCCTCTCAGTCCCCCGAGGTTGCTGGGTGCAGGGCTGGCGGGCAGCAGAGCCCCTGGGCAGTCTCGCTTGCTCAGCTGGGAGCGGGATGCAGGAAGAAGCTGAGCGCACTGGCCTTTGAGCTGCTGGGCTGGTCCTGCCTGCTGCATGCCCATCCAGGGCAGCCTTGGCCTCTGCCGTGGGCTGCTGCTGGCCAGCAAGGAACCTCCCGGGGGCCTCTAACTCCTCCGCTCTGTCACCTGCCCCCTGCCCAAGCTGCCCCACTGCATAGGTAATGAGCTTGTAATGAAAGCAACTTCTCATGCTGCCGAGGGAGCTCTGTGGCACCTACAGGGGACAGCGCTTCGTCCTCATGGGGACCTGGTGCATCTCAGCGTGTGACCAAGGTCTCAGTGGACGCCCTGGGGTCTCCCGGCCTGACCTGCAAACCGCCCAGCACCAAGGTTCTGGGGGCGGGGGGGGGGGCTGACCTGTCACTGGGCTGGAGACAGGATGCAGGTGGCCTTCGGCCTGCTCTCCAGATGGGAGGTGGGTTATTCACCCTGCAGGGAGCCGGTCTGGAACCCAGGCCACTGAGGCCACTTCTGGCCAGGTGAGGGCAACAAGCCCCATGCCTGCAGGGCCATAAAGGGCAGCGGAGGCGGTGGCACAGGGAGCATGGGGCCCAGGATGCCCACTTGGAGGTCTGGTCCAGAGGGTTGCCGCCAGGCAGCGGGACTGTGGGGCCATTTTCTGCTGCCATGTTGGCTACCAGGACCCCGAATACTCCATGGCACCCTGTGACCCTGGCTATGGCCCCTAAGCCTCAGTCCTTCCAGTGGGAAACAGGCAGGAGAGCTGGGACGGACGGCACATGAGGCACAGAAGCAGACAGGGGGATGGCAACGGCTGCTGCTGTGCATGGATCCCCGCGCTCCGAGACACCACGCCCGGAAGCTGTCAGAAAAGCAGCCGCCTACATGACAAAGCAAACCCTTCCACAGGAAGGCCAGGAGTGGCGGCGCACACCTGTGATCACAGAACTAACTCGGGAGGTTGAGGCAGGAGTACTGTAAGTTTCGGAGCAGCCTGGGGAACTCAGCAAGACTCTGCCTCAAAATTTAAAAAAGGGCTGGGGACAGAGCTCAGTGACGAGCACCTGGGGTTCACTCCTCAGTGCTGGGGAGGGGAAAGACGCCATGAGGAAAGTGCAGAGAGAAGCTCGCTCAGACAAAGGTGGCAGTGAGACCTAAAGGCAGAAAGGCCGCCTCCCTCCTCCCCTGGAGTGGGTACAGCTCAGACAGAGGCTGCAGGGGAAGCTGCCAGGCAGGCACAGCCAGGGCGTCCTGAAGGCTAGGCGAATGGGGCGCCCTATCTTCCCCAGGGACGCCACTGAGGACAGCACAGGCGGCCTGCACGGCGGCCCAGAGCCCTTTCCGGAAAGCCCCATGAGGTCTGGGCTGAGCACGGCAGGTGGCACCACCTTCAGCAGGGTTGGTGGGCACGGATGACTGACAGAGGTGTGGGCCCAGGTGGAGCTGCCCCAGGCCGCTCCTGGAGAAACGGCATCATCTGGTCTCTGCACACGCAGGAGACTCACGTGAGTGAGGGCTGGGTCCACGGGAAGGCGTCACTCTGGACCTCACACTGCACAGGCGGCCTGGTTGCTGGGGAGCGCTGGGGACAGGAAGCCTCCTGGCCAGAACGCCAAGGGACAGTGGCTGTGCCCACGGTGGGGTTGGAGCAGGTGAGGCATCTGGGAGCACACAGCCCACTGTCCTGCAGGGCACACGGCCGCCAGGAGGCTGCAGCCACCAGGCGGGGGCCATGGGACAGAGGGCTGGCGGCACGGAGGCCATGCACAGGGCGGTGCCCCACTGGCAAGCCCAGCTGTCCCCGTGTCTTGACACACCTGGGCCAAGCGACAGGTGGCGGGTGGTGAGAAAGAGACCACATGCCAAGAAGGAAGAAGCCGCCGAAGGCTGCTGGCTAGAAAAGGTTTCTTCCCATTTTATTTGATAATACATTTTCACAGAAACATGATAGTATTTACAAATATACAGGTAAGAGACTGCTGGTCAAAAATCTGGAACTGAAAATATCATCAAAAATTAATTTACAAAAGCCACCCCGCCCAGGGTGTCTGCTGGAGCGCGCGTGCGCAAAGCAGCTGCTGGGCCCGGCCTGGTCTCAGGAGGCGCTGGTCTGCAGGTTTTTGGAAGCTGCGAGCATTGCTCTGACTTTGGCCATGAGGTCCTGTGTGGGCAGACAGGGTCCTGTGTGGGTGCCTGGGGATGAGGCGCCCAGGCACTTGTGAAGGCCCCTCCTGTGCTCCTGCTCTTCGGGGCCGGGCTGCCCGGAAATGGAGATCCACAGCCCACCCAGGCGGCTTAGGGTGCAGGAAGGCAGCAGGAGGGGAAAATGGGGAGACCACGCCCATCTTACCTGAGTTATTTTGCTCTGCACAGAAGAAACGATGGCCGAAGAGATCTGACCTTCTTTTTCCTGAGAAACTCCCCTGGTGCAGAGAGGATGAGAGGGATATACACGCACACCTGAGCCTGGCCCTCCAGAGCGAACCCGAGGGAGCAAGCACACTGCAAAGCTCTACGGCGTGGACCACACACAACACAGACACCCGTGTGTTATGTGCGTGATGCCTGCTTTTTCTGGTGCTGAGGATGGAAGCAGAGTCTCACACACGCTAAGCGCCTGCTCTACCACTGAGCTACACCCCAGGCCTCTGATTTTATTTGGGGACAGGGTCGGGGCTGGGTTCAAGCTCTCTCTCCCCATCGAGCCTCGGCCTCCCAGAGTGCTGGGATCACAGCGTCACCACCATGGCCAGCTCTCAGAATCGAGTCTGGCACCAAGGTCGCCTAATGCTTAATGCAGGTGAAAAAGGAAGGGTGACTAGGGAGGAAGCATTAGCCAGGAGCAGCAGGGCGTCACCACCTGGCACAAGGGAGGCTGCCCCTGACGGGCCCCACCCGGACAATGACAGCCAGGCCTCCACCTCTGCTGGGCCCTCGTGCAGTCCTGAGGGCTGGCAGCTGAGGGTGGGTGGACGTCCTGCCCCACGAGCCCCCGCCCCCAGGAGCTTGGGCAGCATGGGTGCCGCTGGGCTGCAAAGCTAGTTGTCCCTGGCCTTCGGGATGGCTCCACCCCTCAGGGGCTCTTGTGCCCACAGAGGGCCTGCACCCCTAGGTGGCTCTCAGCTCCCATTCTGGTCTCTCAGGGCTTCCTCCACCCGGGCGCCCTGCTGCTGCTCCCCCGGAAAGGGGCAGCCAGAGGCCTATACCTGGAGCGCTCCTGGCTGGAGCCCCGGCTGTCCGCAGGAGAGATGCTGGCCGAGTGGGCCGAGGGCGCCGCCGGCCGCTGTGCTGCCCGCTTGCTTGGGGACGCCGACTGAGACCGAGCCTTGGCCTTAGTCCGAGACTGCGACCGCCTCTTCTTCTTCTTCTCGTGAGGACTTCTGGAAGGGACGTGTTCTTGAGAGAGGCGCACACCCGGCGGAAGGCACAGGCCCCGGAGCGCGGGGTGAGGGTCTGTGCCCGTTCCACGTTGGCGGGGCCTGCTCGACCTCTCACGACTCAGACCCGAGGCCCGGCAGACGCTCAGGGCTGGCAGGCTTGGAAGCGGCCTCCTGCAATGCCTGGCACCAGGAGCACAGCCAACGTTCTGCGCACCATTAAAATCCCTCCGCCAAGCAGCTGCGGGTTGTGCAGCCCTCACTGTGCTGACTAAACCCGAGCAGACCAGGTGGGGGGACGGAGGACGCTGGGCTCTGCACACAGCAAGGCCCGGCAGGCACACTCGGCGTCAGCCCAGCTGACGGTGCCCCACCTGCACAGAGGAGCCCCAACCGAGGCTCCCATCAGAAACACTTCCAGACCCCAGCCCACACCTCTTCTGCACTGCCAAGCTCCACACCCACCCTGCTATGACCCATTCAATCTGGCCTCAAATGTGTGCCGATCCTCCTGCCTCGGCCTCCCAAGTGCTGGGATGACAGCCATGCTCCACCACACCCAGCTCCAAGGGGCTTTTTTTTTGAGGCAGGTTCTTGCTGTGCAGCCTCAGCCCCCCGAGCTCAGGGATCACAGGCATGCCCACATGCCTGGTGACAGCCGTGTGCTGTGCAGGCAGCCCCAGCCCTTCTGCAGAGCCCCTCCAGGCCCCACGACGCCCCCGTCTTGACTTAGAAACCCACTGCCAACATCGGTGGCTGCCGCTGGCAGCTGCCCCCTGGCCCTGCTCTCGGAGTGCTTGCCCAGGTGAGTCCCTCCTCTGGGTTGCAGGGGCTGCCTTCGGGCAGCCCACACCTCTGCGGCCAGCCGCAGGGGTGCATGCCCCTCATCCTGTCTCTCCAGGGCTGCACCTGGTTTCCCCGGGGCTGGGAGTGGCAAGAGAGCCCTGACCATCCTGTGTCCTCCAGGACACTTCTGGGGCCCACAAACTGGCTCACCACGCCCCTGGGCTGAGCCACCTTTGTCCCTTACAAGGGGGCCGGCTGACCTCTGATGAGCCGGGCCCTCGCCAGGTCTGAACTGTGCTGCTGATGGCCAGGCCGGCTTGCAGTGTGCTGGCTCCAGAGGCCCAGCCCAGCCCCAGCCCAGGTCCCAGAGCTGACGGCAAGCTGTGGGGGAAGAGGACCATATACACCAGCACGCTGGGCCACAGGAGGAACCGGCTGGGGTGGTACGGAGTGGTCTGAGTCCAGCTGCTGGGAGAGGTGTCCCTGCCGTCCACCGAGGCTGTGCATCAGTGACCTGGTGCTGCAATCGGGATGTGGGTGGTGTGGATACTGCTCTCCGAAGCTGTGTGAGGGCAGCGGCTGCGCTGCACACGGTTCTGCGCCTTTTCTTCTCTTCAATGCTGGGGTGAACTCAGGATCTTTGCACTGAGCTACACCCCCAGCACTTTTCTATTTTGGGACAGGGTCTTACTACGTCGCCCCAGTTGGGCTGGAACTTGTGGTTCTCCTGCCTCAGTCTCCTAGAGTGCTGGGATTACAGGTGTACTCTGACACACCTGGCTGTTTCTGGGTAATTTCTAATCCACTAATTACCTCTAATTAGTGAATTAAGATTCTAATCCACTGATATTTCAAAGGAAGCAGCAAACAGAACAGAAAAATATTTGGTAGCACGTGATCTTTGACCAGAATAGCCCAGCCAAAGTCTGGCTGCATCTCCGTGGCTACTCGAGGGACAGGAGGTAGTGGCTTTTGCTGCCCAGGGGTCCGTGTGTGCCCAGCGTGGTGTGGGCTGTGCGTGTGGCTCAGGGGGCCTCCCTGTAAGCCTGGCTCAGACCAACTGCAGTCCGACCTCAGGCGGCTGTCCAGGCCTCTGCTGCAGGAGTGCAGGGGCAAGGAGTCCGCCCCAAACGGCCGAGGCACACTGTGTGGCCACAGCATGCAGGTGGGTGAGCCCCGCACTGTCAGGAGCAGGGCCTGCTCTGGAACATTCCCTCGACGCAGCCTCCAGCCTGTGCCTCTCCCCGCTGTTGGAGGCGACCTTGGTGCTGACCTCCGCAGACCAGACCTCGAAACGCCCACCCAGGAGGCACCCATGTTGCCTAGTTCTGGCAGTCCAGGCCGAGCTGGCTCCATGGCCCAAGACTCACTTCAGAGCCTGCACTGGGATGGAGCAGCAAGCAGCAGAGCTGCTCCTGCAGTGGCTGCACTGCCCGGCACCTTCCTGCACCCCTAGGCCCTCCACCAGGCGACCATGCAGCCGCGCCTCCTGGAGGCCTCTGCCCCTGCGGCCCTGTCCTGCTCAGAGCTGCCCTTCTGCACCGGCCACTGCAGGCCTCACCCCCTCTCACGGCCACGAGACCTGAGGGATTCACTCAGGTGGGGCTTGGCCTGTGTTTCCCTGACTCCACAGATGCCAACACATCGGACGGCCCCCTCTGTAGGGATTGCAGCCCCCAGGGATCCCGGCGCACACTGTTCCCTGGTCTCAGGCCGAGTGACCGGTGTGCAGTCATGTTCCCAGTCTGGGACTTGGGCTTGGCTAGAAAGGCCTTCCTGCCCTCGCTGAGTCTCCTGGGAGCCCTGGTGAGCACCCATGTGGCCATGCAGTGGGCCTTCCTGGACTCTCCCCTATCGTGCGTGCCCTCAGGCTGACACCGTGGTCCCAGCTGCTGTGGCTTTCTAGTCAGTCTTGAGATTGTGACACTGAAGTCCCCCATGTCTGTTCTCAAGGCCGCTGGGGCTGTTCTAGGTCCTTTTCAATTGCATACAAGCTTTAGGCTCAGCCTGCTGGCTTCCACAAACAGACTGTGGGTGTGTACTGGGACTGGACCGGATCTACCAACAGCTCTGGGCAGCAGAGGGGTGCGCGGGACCCAAGTGTGCAGTGTTCTGGTGAGGAGCTCATTTCTGGTGGTGCCGGGATAGAAGCTGGGCAGGAGGGGAGGTAAGCGCTCTACCCTGAGCCACACTCAGCCACACACATCTCTGTTCTTCAGAGTCCTGGTGTGCGGGTGCACACGTGTGCACGTACTCATCTGCTCCAAGGACCAGCTGTGATGGCCTCAGAGACCTTTTTTTCCTTGCAGTCCGGGGAATCGAACCCAGGGCCTCAGGTGTGCTAGATAAACTCCACCACTGAGCCTCTCGCCTGCCTTAGGGCTCTGTGTCCCTTCCCCCGTATCTGCCAGAGCCCGGTGGAAGGGTTAAATTACACATTCCACTTCCTCAGCAGATGCGCAGCTATCAGATGACCCACGGTCTTCCAGGCTCAGTTTGATGATGTTTCTTCTGAGAAACTTGCCCACTTCATCTACACTGCTGAATTAACCAAAATAAGATGTTTCCTTACTATTATCTTTAATGTGCAGTCTTTCATCTTTGATCACTCCAACTGCAGAGCTGTCAATTCTCTGATCATTTCCAAGGGACCATCTTTTGCTGTTGCTGTTTTCCTGTTTGGTTGGTTTTCTTCCTTGTTGTTTCCAGTCTTTTATTATTTCCTTGCTTCCATCTGAGTTTAGTTTTTCTTTTTTCCAGCTCCTTACAATAGGTCAGATCATTGTTTCTGTTTTACTTGCCTGTTGTATAAACACTGAGACCACCAATGCCTTCTAAGCATGGCTGCCCTATTCAGATCTGAAGAGACCATATTATTCTCACTGTCACTCACTCCAGAACATCATCCAACTCCTCCCGGAATTGCTTTGGCCCAGGATAGTTGAAAAGTGTGATGTTCGGCTTTGAGCACTTGGAGTTTTCCAGCTCTTCATGGTTTGGGGCAATGCCCTGTGGGGTGGGAATAACCCGTGCTGTTTACATCCCCCCGTCAGGGCAATGCCCAGGCTCTGCGCGGACCCCTGCATCCTTGCTGTGGGCTCACACCCTGCTGTCATGTCCTCCCGCGGAGCGACTCTGGCACCCCTGGGAGACACGGCTTCCAGCCCTGTGCCTCTCACTCTAGCCACACTGCCGCCCCTGCCCAGCATACTGCGCTGGGCTTTCCTGCCTTTAAATTCTAACCAATTTCTGTGTTCATATTCCAAGGGTCGCTTATAAAATGATCCAACCTACGATTTCTGCCCAATCACTGGATTTCGGGCTTCCAATGCTTAAACTGTACAAACAGGTCTTCAGTGTTTCGCCTCTGTGGGCTGGGGGCTGAGCAGAGCTGTGTGCATGGAGGGATGTGCTCTCCCACTGGAAACCCAGCTAAACAGCGGTTATTCTGAGACAGTGTCTCCTCTGTGTCCCAGGCTGGCCTCGAACCCTGATCCTCCTGTCTCAGCCTTGAGTGCCAGGATTACAGGCCTGCACCACCACGCCCGGCTGAGCAGCTTTAATTCTATCCTTGTTTATCTGTCCCATTTGTTCCTGGCAGTCCTTTTCTTCTTTCCTTTGAATTTAGTACAGCATTTTTAATTGTTTTACACCCCCTATCAGCTTTCCAGCCCCTTTGAATTGGTCACTGTGGGGCCAGCCCCATGAGTCCCTCAGGCCCACTTGCTTGGATGCAGAACACTGGTGCATAACCAAGAGCCTCTGGTGATGGCACCCTGGCCCCTCCACGGACGACGATCCTTGTACCTGGCATGGCGCTTGCACACAACCTTTCCTCATGGTTCGTCAGTCACTGTGAGAAAGCCAATAGGACATCCTGGCAGAGGGGGCTACAATACCTGACCAACATTCTGTGAAATGTACTTGTGATGCACTCAAATGTTTTGTATAAATGTTGTTTTCTATGTTTTCACATTGTACCAAATTTTCAATAGCACAGATCTGGATTTCCAAGTATGCACCGGTCCTGGGGCAGGGGCAGGGGCCAACAGGAGTGTGGCACCTTGCTGCAAAGGGCTCCATGGGCCTGATCTGAGACAATGTTACTGTCATAAAATAATAAGCAGTGCATTGCTGTACCACCTAGAAGCAAAACCCAAAGCCCTCCAAGTCCAGAAAGAAAGGAGAGAAGACTGCTGGCCAGTAAGTGCAGGAGAAAGGGCGGAGCAGAACGTCGCTGTGCTGACGCGACCAGGACAAGACCAGGGTAGGGCACTGCAGGGATTCCGGTGGCTTCCCAGGGCCCCGCTCACCCGTCACAGCCTCACCAACAAGGAGCACAGTGATGTGTCTGTCTTCCAAGCATCGAGGGACGCACACTCTCCAGAATGCTCAGTGTGCCTGGCCAGGGAGGCCCAGACTGGCGTCCTGGTGTGGGTCCCTGCAGCACAGCCCACCCGGGGACAGCGCAGGAGGAGGGTTGGGGCGGGACGCCGCCGTCTGAGCTCCAGAAACCTCTGCACACTGGGAGCCACGGAGAAGGACAGATGCATGAGCGCCAGCAGAGAGACAGCCTGACCAGTCTGCCTGTGGACCTGAGCTGCACACGGCCTCAGGGCTTAGGATGAGGACAATGGACAGGCCAGCAACTGCACACACACTCGAAGCTACCAAGCGCTAGTGAAGGTGCCAGTTCCCAGCACCACAGTGGTGCATCTGCGTGGCAGGGAAGCCCGTGTGCACCTCACTTTCCATCTGGGACTGTCACGGGGTTCCTGCAGGCCCACCAGAGATCTTCAAGTCCTCATAGTGGAGCTGGCTGATTTATCTTTTGTTTTGGGAGGCAGGGTCTCGAGATGTAACCCATGCTGGGCTCCAATCCTCCTGCTGCAGCCCCCCTGGTGCTGGATTACAGGGATGCACCAACACGCCCAGCTGAGCTGGCTGATTTCTAATGTCTCTCCTCCTCCTCCTCCCCCCAAGATCTCTCTTTTATCGCAAAGGTTAATTTGAGGGCAAAGAAAGAACTCTTCTGTTAAGAAAAATCAATTAATTTTAGATCATGCCCTTTACATCTACCTCGAGTGATGATGGATGGCAAATGTTAAATTACTTGCCTGAGGAATGAATTCATGTACTGCAATAGCTGCACATACTTAGTGTAGGATTATCAGGCACAGAATCTCATTTACAGAGTGGCTGGCACGAGGAACTGTACTGACACCAACCAGCTAGCTGTCCAGTCCCCTGCAGAGCTTCCGCTTTACGAAAAAGGACTCTTCTTGACCGCCTCACAGAACCATCCTCCACCAGCCTGACCACGTGATGCTCCCGGCGCCCTCGTTTAGGCAGTGCTGGGCAGGGGTGCACTTCTGCGGCTGCTGCTCAGAAGGGGGTGAGCGAGGCAGCTACTGGGGTGCCCCATGTCAGTATACATGTGGGCCAACACCCCTCCTGCCCTCTGGGTGCTAAAGGGTACCATGCGCTCCCGACAGCTGAAGCCGCGGCCTTGGCCAGCACACACATCACCGGCCCCAACAGCGAATGCCCCGGAGCAGGGAGGATGTGAAGCGAGGGGCTTGCCATCCCTGTCGACAGCCAAAGGCAGAGCTGGGAGCCCAGCGAGGACGGTGCCAGGCGGGACCTGGGGCCTCATGCCACTGCCCACGGCCTCAGTTATGGACAGCAACTTCCGACCATTTCCCAGGGAACCCTGGGGACCAGCGCCTGGACAGCAGGTGGCCTACCTGGAACGGGCTCGTTTCCTGCTGGCCCCGGGGCTACTGCTCATCCGGTAGGCAGTGGGGACACTTCTTTCCTCCCGCCGTCTCTCAGGGGAGTGGGCTCTCCTCCGAGGGGACCGGGAGCGGGACCTGGATGGAAGACGACAGGCAGCAGTTTAGCCCCGCAGCCTAGGCACCCCGTGCGTGGCAGACCAGACCCCGTGGGGCCTGTAGGTGTGGCAGCACGGCACTCGCCTTTGCAGCCCTGCCCTCCTGTCCCGGAGTTCCAGCCCTCGGGGGCAGAGCTGCCTCCTGTCCACCATGCGTTGCACCAAGGCCAGCCTGGGTCCGGGTTGTTTCCCCTCCTCTCACCTGTGCCTACAGATTTCAGCTCACTAATGGGCAGCAACAGCTGCCATGGGACGGTGCTGAGGCCGAGGGCCCGGGCCCTGTGTCAACACTGGCCTGGGAGAGCCCGAAGGCTCCAGAAGTGGAGGGCTGTGCCCAGAGCTCTCGGCCACATGAACCCGAGGCTGCTGTGGGCACACCGGCATGAGCCCACGCCTCGGCCCACTCCAGTGGGCGCCATCTCACGGTGGCGTGGGCCTGACTGCTGCAAAACCACCCCTCAGTCTGCCCGCTTCCTCCCCTGGGCTGTGGGACCCATCTACCCAGCCCACGTGGGCACGCAAGGCCCACGAGACCCTTGGCCACCAGAAGAGTCAGGTCCTCAATGTGGGCTCCCTGGATGGTGCTGGGACTTTCATTTTAGTTCTTTCTTCATTCAATGAAATTACTGTTTGAAGAAAACCTGCAATAAGCAGAAGTCTGGGGGAAAAAACATCTTTTCTCCCCACTGTTTCCATGACAACCCATTCAAAAACAATGTTTAAGAACAGAGGCTTAATTTTTGTCATTTAAAAAAGTTCTCCAGTGAATCATTTTACTACATTAAAGGCCCCAACACAATACTCACGGGTGTTCCAGGATCAGCTTAACCCACCCCCAGTCCTGAGCACCCAGCCCCACCCTGAACGGCTGCTGCAGAGCTACACCGCTGAGGGCCACGTCCCCAGACCTGCCCCAAGCTTTTGCGACAGACTACAAAGTTGGGGCAGTTAGACCCCTTGACATTTTACCAGGCTTCCCCTCAAAAGAGCTCCAGGAGCCAAATCTGTCCGAGGCAGAGGGCGTCTGACAACTGTCTCCCCGGGCTGCTGCTGCCACTGCTGTGTGGCTCTGGCAAGGCTCTGTGGCCGGGGCCCCTGTGGTCGGAGGCACACACTTCACACTCAGAATGGGCTGTGCCGGGCGGAGCGCTAGCAGAACTGGGAAAGAGCTACAGCACCTACGGACGCTTATCACAGGAGTCTGCGGTAAGCTGAGGAGGCAGGACAGATACATGGGTCCTTAACACCCACAGACCCTGGCTCTACGTACAATACCTTGTGGCTCGGCTACCGCTGTTGGACTTTGTCAGAGTGGAGTGTTTGACTCCTGTCAGCGGGGAAGGAAGCCCCCTCCAGAGCCGGGGCAGTAACAACAGTAGGTAATTCTTCATGTGAGACAAGTGTCACTGCTCTTTATTCTGCCGGCCAGGCTCTTAAGACGGCTACCGTGTCTCAGGGCAAGAAAGGGGATTCCACCTTCCATGCTGCTTGTCTACACCACGGCACCAGAGGCTTCTTACAGACAAAGTCGCCTCGGCTAACACGTGAGCACACTGAATCTCAGATGCTTCTCTCCGTTATGTACAAAATTATAAAGGTTTGCTCTCAAAGGCATAGGAGACCTTTTTCAGTGATACAATTTCAGAAATTTTATCTGAGTGACAGCGAGCATGTTAACGTGATCCAGCTCACTGTCCACACTGGACCCCGGGCTCTGCCTGGTGGTGGATCATCCTCTTCCCAACCTACAGAAACTGCCCACACCAGCACGGCGACCATCACCACATGAGGCCCTTCTAGCACCCATTTCTTCACTTAAGAAATAGGATTAAAGGATAAAATTACCTTTTACTGGTTTGCTGTGCAGTTTATCACCAGGAAAAAGGACAGTGAAAAATCATAAGTTTCAAATTAAAATGTGATCTGCTTTGCCTGAGTTATCATTTTTGCCTGAATGTAATTTTCTAATGTTAAATTGTTTAAAACAATAACCATACTCATCCCTGGAGGCTCCCCAGGGAGCTCAGACCTCCAGAGAAGCCAGGCGTCTCAAAGGGCCTCTGTAGGACGGCCTTGGAGACCACTCAGGACCCCAGCCGGGTGGTGGGGGGCGGCCAGACACAGGGACAAGCACTGAGCCGTCTTCACCAAGGTCTAAACAGGCGCAGTTCCAGGCTTCAGTCTTGAAGTGTGGTTTAGCAATCCTTGCACCTTACCTTACTTAGGGCTGACTTTTAGTTTTAGGTGTGAGTAAATGGCACGAATGTTTCTTCATGGGGAAGAAGGAGACCCTGACTGTTAGCAAACAGACAAGAGCAGGCACAATGCAGAGCCGTACACTGCCACGGTGCTGAGTATGAGACGCCAGAACCAGTGCGCCGAGGTCTTGGTGAGATGAGAGACTTCCGCTATGACTAGCTCGCCGGGGACCCAACCCTTTCCTCTGGGTTCTGAGGTAGTGAGGTTTCAACCATGCGAGCGGCCCCATCCCAAACAGACTCATGACGGCAAAAGCGCCTTCTAATCTTACTGTCCTGGACCGTCTTCGGGACCGCAGTGACTCAGTGCACAAAAGAAAAGGCATCTCATTTCAGTGCGAGCCACCAGCGAGAAGTGTCAACAACGGTGGCCTCTTACTGTGAGGTGGGAGTAGCCCTGACAAAGACCAATCAGGTGCGTCTATAATGGGCTGTGCTAGCTGAAGAGACAGTTATGCAAAAAATAACAGCAGTACCATTAGCACTGTCAGTATTTCGGTTGAAATGTAGTTGTTTTCACATGTCAGTAATTCACACTAAGGAGGAAAACGCCATCCGCTTGTTTTATTTGCAGCCACGGCATTTGAAGTCCACTTGCACCCCCAGAATGGTGACTGCCAGCTGCCAGGGGGGCTAGGACTCAGCAGGTCACCCGCCTCCAGCTTAGAGGACCACGCCAGCTAGCAAACAGCTGCCCAGGGAGGCAGAAGACCACACAAGGGCTGGTCGGGTGGGGCCACCCAGGGTGAGCCCAGGACCTCAGGCACCAGCTCCCAGGGCAGAACCTGCAACACATTTCCACAGCTGGAAGGTTTGTTTCATCGTATTATCAGTCCTTACTGAGGACTGAGCCCAGGGCTGTCACACTGAGCTGCATCTCCAGCCCTTTTTTATTATTATTATTTTCTTATTTTGAGACATTAAGGGTCTCATTAGGTTGTGCAGGCTGGGCTTGACCTTGTGATCCTTCTGCCTCCCAGAGGCTGGGTATCAGTCTTTTATAATAAAGTTGTACTTTGCCTTGAAATTTTATCTGTATTGCAAAAAGAAACACCAGAAATCTGACTTACTCAGTAAATTTAAGTCTGTTATTTCACTGTAACCAACTACAAGTAATGTAAATACCACCTCAGCCACCGAGAGAGACTAAAAAGTTTTGAGAGTTACAGGAAAACTCAGCTCTGCTGACACTGAAACATTTCACTGTGGATCAAATTAAGATGAAACTGGCGGCCTAACATCATGGCAGAAACCATAATCAGAACGTTCTTGACTTAATTTTCTTTGTACCTGAAAGTTACAAACTAGGGAGTAGGATTTGCATCCTGGACTTGTCAGTGACGAATATATAATAATAATGATACATCTATCTGTATGCAAGGCTATTTTAAAATCAAAACTATTTTAAAAGAAAAAGTAACATATAAAACAAGTTACTCCATTACAAAGGACAGCCTGACACAACAGGTGTTAAGAGTACCCAGCTATCTGCACCTCAACTGGGGGACAGCCTGGGGCCACCCCTGCTCCGGGCCAGCAGGAGGCGCTGGCTGTGTAGCACAGGCAGGGCCCAGGCCTGGGGACCACGGAGGGCCCAGCCTCCCCTCTGAACACTGGGGTCACAGCACACCGGAAGATCTCACTGGGTGTGGTGTGCCTGGGGTCTGGCTCAGGCCTGGGGCATTTCCTTTCAGCTCTATCATGGCATAAGAAACTTTCTCAAGTGAGAATTTTCTACAAAGTTTTGATCTATAATACAAATTCCTGGGAAAATTAAAAAACTAAAAGTATGTCAGCAAAGCTATTCATTCAATTAAATTAAGCTTCTTTTTGTGTGTGTGCTAAGTAGGAGAGGCGCAGAGCCTTAGATAAGCCCCTACCCAGAAGGCCCACCTGGCTTCGCTGTGCCTGCAGGCGGGGCACAGGGCAGATGATGGGGCCGAGAGGTACCTGTTCACAGCAGACGTCAGTCAAAGGAAGGGCACAGGGCCTCTGCACTTCTCCTAGGAAGAGTGGACTTCAATTCCAGAAGCACCAGGTGCCCACAGTCGGAGCCTGTGTGAGGGAGGCGCTGGGTCTGGTGGAGTCGGGGCCCACGGGGCAGGCCTTGCTGAACCTCACACAAGCTGGTGGGCTCTGCTCTTTTTGGTAGGGAACCCAGGGCCTTGCACACGAACAAGGCCTTTCTACAACTAAGGAGCACTCTGGCCCTGCCCTCTTCTAAATTTTCTTCTGAGAGAGAGTCTGGCTAAGCTGCCCAAGCTGGCCTCGAACTTGAGATTCTCCTTCCCTATCCTCCTGAGGAGCTTGGATTACAGGGGTGCCTGGTGTTTTGTGTTTAAACTGTGTTGCTAAGCAGTAAGTTCCCATTTACCACTGCTGCCGCCAGAAACGTTAAAGCACTTTCTCCCGGACGGGCTCCTGGGAGGGCTCTGTGCAGCAGCGGGCACCGGGGAGAAGGACGACGAGGGGCAGACTGGTCCTGCCGCTACCTCATCACACGCCTGTGGGTGCCGTGGACCCGAGCACAGACTACGCAGTAAAGATTTCTTCTGTTCTGGAACTTGCACAAAAGAAACCAGCGCAGAGAGATCACTCACACAAACAAAAAAGGACCCACACCCCATCCTGTGCATTTTTCACACGCTGAAACAGCTGCTGGGCGGGATCCTGTGACCAGTACCATTTAAGTAAACCCTGCTTATTTCCTTAAAGCCAGCAGGAGCTAAAGAGCTCGCAAGAGGTGGCTACCAAGAAGAGGAACAGGGAAGCAGGCACACCCACATGCACTTCAAATGCCGCCCAGCTCCAGGGACGGACATCAGGCCATGCAGCTCGTGTGCACGGGGACAGGACCCACAGGGTGCCAACCCACAACACCCACCTGGACCGCCGCACCGTGCGGTAGGCACTGGGGAGCGAGTGCTTTGCTTTCGTGTGGGACCTGGACCTGGACTTTGACGACGAGTGATACTTGGGAGAGCGGGATCTAGTCCGAGACCGCTTTTTGTGCTTTTTCTTCTTCTTCTCTTTTTCTTCCTCCCTCGGTGGGTCTCTGTTTTTGCTTGAAGGCCTTTCTGGTGGCTTCACTTCTAAAGTGGGCAGGGGTCTGCTTCCGCTCAGTAGTGGACAGGGCGTGGCACCAGCTTCCTGAGAACAGAAACAAACTCGTGGCATCAGCAGGGAGACAGGACTGAGGAGCACAGGTGACAACACTTCAACTCTGGGCCCTCCCTCGGCAGCACCCGCAGTTTCAGCAGGCACCACCCCTCTCTGGCTGTGTAGCAGCTCAGCTTCCTTTTCGAGGAAGGCGACACTCAGACGAGCGAGCCCACCCCTCCTCACCGGCAGCTTGCGCTGAAATGGAAAAGACAGCAGAGACCAACAGTCTCAAAGCTTGGCAGAGACTAGGGTCTCGAGGCTGCCGGTCTAAGGGCTGCCCCGGAGATAAACTGCTGAGACACAGCTGCCCACCTCCCTGTGTCTTAGAGCTAAGCTGTAAAAGCAACGTTTACCTCCACACCTCCCGACCCTGTGCTAAGTTCTGCTTCTGCAAAATTCTGCTTGCTCCCCCGCCCTGGGTGAAGAACAGATAGAAATGGGGCCCAGCCTCTGGAAGGGGACTTCCGGTGGGGCCCTAGTGATAATAAACCTGCTTTCCCTTCCGTCCTCTGAGTGCCACGCTCTTCTTGGTGTGCCCACTCTCCGAGGGCCACTTCAGCGCTAGTCTGCTGGGCTGAGGACGGCTGGGGGCAAGGGCAGAGCACCAAGGCCAGTGACAGGGGAAGTCTGCATCTGCTCCTTGGTAACCTTCCTCAAAGCAGATACCCAGCTTCCACTGTTAGGCCTCTCCCAAGTCTGAGAAGGCCAAGGCTTTGGGAGGCGGCTCGGAGCTGGGTGAGGGGTGTGGGGGCTCCCAAAGGTCAGGCTGGAAAGCGGGTACCACGCAGGCTCAGGAGGCCCCGGGACACCAGATGTGTGTGGGCTGGGCTTCTCCACAGGAGCACCGGCACTGCCCGGACATGTGTGCCCACCAGGGCACTCCTCAGCTCACTGCATGTGAATTTTAACCACAGACACCATGCACCTCCACCTCATGCACCCCGAGGGTCCAGCTCCAAGGATTACAGAAAACCTCAAGGCCTTCATGGGCTGGACCAGGGTGGGTGGAGCTGGGTGTCCGGCCCTGGGGCTACGCCACCAGCCAGTGGACGAGCACTGCACACAGGGCTGCTCCACCCCTCTCGCTGCAGCTCCATCTGGCGACCACGCAGGTGGCTGCCCGGCACTGATGCCTCAGCCCATTGCTCCCGACCCATGCACTCTCTGAACATGGCCTCCAGCCCAAGGCTGGGCCCCACAGACCCAGCTCCTGCCCATGAGGCGCGGGTAGCAGAGCCAGGGACAGGGAGGGGCCTGTGGCAGCTCAGGAGGTCCCACACAGTGCGCAACTCCATCCCCTCTTCTACATTTAAGCTGCCAAGTTCTTTTTTTCCTACCCTAGGGATTGAACCCAAGGCCTTGCTCGTACCAGGAAAGTGCTCTACCACTGGACCACATCTCAACTCTTAAAACAAAACAAGGTCTCCGGCGTAGTTCAGGCTGACTTGAACTCACAATGTAGCCCAAGCCGGCCTCAAACTTGAGGTGATCCTCCTGCCTTAGCCTCCTGAGTGTTAGGATTACAGGCATGTGCCACCACGCCTGGCTTTTTAAAAATATTTTCAGACAGGGTCTAAGTTGCCCAGGTTGGCCTTGAACTTGCTGGCCTCCTGCCTCCAACTCCTGAGCAGCTGAGATTACACAGGCGCATGTCACAGGGCTCGGCTCAGCAGGTTCACTCTTGAGGCTCTGCCTGAAAGACCTCCAGGAACCCACCTCACTTCTTACTGGAAAGGTCTTCCTAGGCCACTGCTGGGAGCCCTTCCTCATGAGGGCAGAGAGCCCAATCTGGTGCAGTGCTGGGGTGGAAGCAGGGCTGCTTAGAGGGTAAAGCTGGGCTCCGGCGAGACCTTTAGTGTCGAGTATGTTTGACAATAAACTGCAAAGATGCTGTAATCAAAGGACTGGTGTAAGGTGTCCTAGATGAACACCAGCCAGGGGGCGCCTGCTCCCTGTAGGCCCAGAAGTGTGGACGTGAAAGGGCTTTGGAAAAACCAGCTTTCTGCATGGGAAAGACCCCAACAGCCCTGGGCTCCCCCGAGGAGAATTGAGGCCAGACTAGGGTGGGTGACAAGAGCTTGAGCCCACACTTGCCAGCCCCAGAATGCTGCGTCCACGTGGAGCCTTTCAGAAACCAGGCCCGAGACTTCCCAGGGAAGGGGGTGGCCAGGTCTCGCCGCACACTCTCAGCATCATCAGAGCCACGTGCTGCAGCCCCAGGGACACACACAGAAACCCCATCCCCACAACCAGGTTCCAAATAGGCTCAGAGGCAGGCACGGTCCAGGCAGGGGAGGGCGTCCCTAGGGGATGCCAACCCAACATGTGTGCCTGTCTGTCCCGCTGCTACGCTTCCCACGACACTTCACTTACTCGCTTGCTGTGAAGGCTGAGAGCCCTGCTGACCGGGGGACACTCAGAACTAATGCTTTCCAGTACAACTCACACTCAGCCATGAGACCTACGTAACCCAATAAGGCAATTGGCCTTTCCAGGTGTGGTGGCACATGCCTGTCATCTCAGCTACTCAGGAAGCAGAGGCAGGAGGATTTCAAATTTGAGGTCAGTTTGGGCGACTCAGTGAAACCTCGTCTCAAAAATAAAAGAATAAGAAGGGCTGGGCAGGTAGGTGAGTGTTGGAGAGCTTGCTTATCACGTGCAAGGCACTGGGCACCATCCCCAGGACCACAGAGCAACCAACGAAAATTCCTCCATCAGTAAGACAAAAGCTGCTCCCCATGGCGACCTTTGCAGGCTGAATCAAGATGATGCACTGTGTTGAGCTCTTCATTTTTTAAATTAAAAATACTGAGAGGATATTTAAAAATCCAGTATGCAGACTTGAGAACGAAAGAATAAAGGATACCAAATACCATGTGGCACATACAGCTGGCAGAGGCAGGGGAGGTGCCCACGGCGCATCCTTCATGCTGGGGACCTAGCGCTACGCCTGTCAACCAGGGCTCTGTGCAGGAGGATGGTGAGGTGCAGAGGGGCTGGGAAGGTGCCACAGGCTGGCCGTGGCCCTGCGGCTCCTGCCCAGGCAGGCGCCAGCCTCCCTGACACGGACCAGAGGCCGCGCCCCACCCTCCCAAGGGTGCCTTCCTGTGCAGTTGGCCGGAGAGCACGCTGTTTGGGAGGGGGAGGGAGTGTGTGCTGCTCCTCCAGGGTTCACAGCGAGGCAGGCCTGCAGGCAGAGGAGACACAGTACGGCCATGGTCGCACTTGCTCTGCATGGTTGAACCCAAACCCTCTCAACGAATGGACTCGGGATGACGCTCACAGCACGTGTCACAGGGGACATGGGCCAGATGCCTCACCCTCCCTGACTACAGTGTCCTGCTGAGGGACAAGACGGCCTCAGTCAGGCGACCACGGCCGGAGGGATCTGTCCCACTGCCTGAGCGGGGATGGGGTGCCCTCCATGAGCCCGGCCCCCGTGTGTGGGGCTCCACAGATGCCACGTGTACCCCAGGTGCCAGCGTGCAATCAAAGCCCTGGCTGGCACTGCAATCAAGGCTTCACAGCCATCGGACCCCCCACCCCGCCTCACTATGCTGCCCAGGCCAGCCTCAAGCTCTTGGGCGAGTGATCCTTCTGCCTCAGGCTCCTCAGGGGCGAGGACTATAGGCACGTACCACCCTGCCTGGGCTCAAAACCATGAGAAAAGTGTAAAGCCAAGACCTGGCTGTGGCTCCCTCTAGGCCTTGCTGGAGGGACAGGCTGTCCGCCACCACAGCTAGCTCAGGCAGTGCTGCATACGGGCCACAGGCTCCACAAGGGGATGGTGACAAATGAGCAGATCCTGAACTCCTTGCTTTTTTTTGGTACTGGGGATTGAACTCAGGACTTTGCGCTTGCGAGGCAGGCAGAGGAACCACTGAGCTAAATCCCTGGCCCTCCTGAGCTCTTTGCTTTTAATTAACTTAAGCAGCTAGTGTGGCTGGTGGCCTGAACACTGCAGAGTGCGCATTACAAAGTATTCTCAACACAAACGCCCGCTTCTCTGGCTTAACCGGAAGACTCCCAGGTGTGCTAACGTGAACCGCTCCTGTATGAACAGCCTGGAGGGCAACTGAGTGGCCACCTCCTGAGTGCACCTTCCCAGTCAGCAACGCAGTGTCAGGATTCCGGGGCCTCTGCTGACACCCCTTGCACACCACGGCCAAGCCATCAGCTGTGCACCATGACCCAGGGAACCACAGCCGCCCTTCCAAGATGAGTTGAACGTTCCGGCAGACAGAAAGCAAACCATGGCTGGGTGTAGGGCTGGGGTTAAGCAGTGTTTGGGAGAAACCACAGAGGAGCTCCAGAAAAGCAGTGATTCATGAGGGTGTCAGGATACCTACTGCCAGCACTTTAGCAGCATGGCAAGTTAAATCAGTCAGTTCCTTTATTACAAGGAAGTGTGTACTTGACAACAAACTCGCACCTGAACTACCAACCATCATCTCCTGTGTGGCTTAGCATGGCTCAAGGACATGGTGCCGCCCCAACAGGGGGTGGGGCACGCCGCAGAGGGCAGGGAGGGATCATGCGGGTGTCCTCTTGGCTGCTCCGGGCATCTCAGCCTGGGCTTCCTCTCTTTACACAAGCCGCGCTTGCTCTGAGTGCAGGATGCTCCAAAACCTGCCTTCCCTGCCATCTGTGGGAGGCCAGGCCCTCGGGACCAGCAGCAGCCCGCTTAGGGGCTGTGGTGTGAAGTCGCCCCTATGACGCTAACTGCACACTACGGTCCCCCGCAACAGGCAGCTTCTCATGTCCTCAACCGCCTCAGCACCTGAGACCTGCAGGGACTCGGCCGATACTAGCTTTTATTCCTATTTTCTTTTCCAACTCTTATATGATTCACAAACTCAGCAGGACCCAAACCTTGAAAAGAATGACTGGAATCTACAAAAGGCCCTGAAGGGCTATTAGTAGCAAATGACTGCATAATAACTCAGAAGAGGGCCAGAGCTGGGCGTGGTACACCCTTATAATCCCAGGACATGGGAGGCTGAGGCAGGAGGATTTTGAGTTCAAGGCTGACCTAGACTACATAATGAGACCCTGTCTCACCATTCTCTCAAAAAAAGAAGGGGCAAAGCTTCTGATTTCTCGTTTTGAATTAAGCACACAGGTGCTCACCAAAGGTGAGGATGGTACAGAGGCAGGCACGTGCACACTCTTTGCGCATGTGCTGGCCCCCACCTGAAATCTCTCCACGCCAGGGCATCATTTAAAATCTCGCCTCAGTATCAGTCTGTGACCACCTCTTCCAAAGACCAATGGAGTGGAGCAGGGCGAGGTGCAGAAACAGATCAGGTACCAATGGGGCTGGCACACGCACACGGGGACGGGGCCAGTGCTTGTCTCTGTGTGCCCCAACTTGAGACCAGCAAATGCAGTGCAGAGGAGGCGAGCAGAAGATGGGCGGCAGGCACGAGGCAGAGACACAAACGCTGAGAACCTGTGGCGGATTCCTCATCACCACTTAGTCATGCTGTGTGGGTCAGAGCAGATCCCACTGTTCCTCAGCAGACTGGCAAGAAGGTGGGTGAGGGCCGCCATGGACAGTGTCCACCCCGGGGAAGCAGAGCTAAGATCCTTCTGCAGACCCATCTGGCAGTGCCTCAAATTAAAAAGCAATTCCACAACCAGGGCTCTGCCTGGGGATCCCCGTGGAAGCCAGACACAAGACAAAACCCAGGGCAGATGAGCACTGCTCAGAGGGGAACCCGAACCGCGCTGCTCCCAACAGCAGGGGACAGTGCGCCACAGCAGCTCCGTCCCACAGACCCTTCAGAAAGCCTGCAGCAGGCCAAGCACTGCCTTAACCCTCCAAACCACATTCGCTCTCTCTCCTGTGTGGAACAGGCTCCCCCCTCCAGAGCACAGCACCACCCAACTGTGGTCCATGCAGACAGCAAGGCGTATGCAACCTTGCAAAGGAAGGAGATTCCGACAGAAACCACAAAAGAGGGAATGTGGGGGTTATGCTGAGAGAGACAGGTCAGATCCAAAAGGACAGCCCCGTTCAGGACAGAAAGCAGGGGGTGCGGGGAGCTGGAGCTTACCGGGGACAGATGGTGCACACGTGCGGATGTGCTCAATGCACTGACTGTGCGCTGCAGAAAATGTGGACACGGCAAACTCTGCGATGAGTATCTTACCGTAATAAGAACAAAACAAAACGCTACTGTTTCCACTGAAGAGCACGCAAGAAGACCTTTCCTCTTCACTGCACCTTTCTCTGGTATCTGAACCTTTCACGTCACACACATGCGCTCGTTGCCCTTACGAAAGCAGATGAAGGCAGGACAGTGCCTGTCCTCAAGGCCTCTGCCTGCATGGTGGCTGTCACAGGACTCTGAGACAGGAGCAGACCGAGGCCTGCAGGTCCTGCACAGGCCTCCTGCCGCCTGGGGCACTTGCTCACTCAGCTCTGGGGCTCTCCCAGGCCCGAGGCAGCGCCCGCCCTGTCTTGCACCCTCTGGAATGAGAATTTGATGTCTGTGCAGTTGGGCCAAATGTGCCAGCACCGATGAGACAGTGCCCATCAGAACGGCAAGGCTATCCGGGCAGCCCGTCCCCAGGAGCTTCTTGGGGTAACAGTACTTTGAAGTCTGACACTCACCTATGACAATTCCAATTTAGCTACAGTAGTTCTGTCTCAGAGCAATTAAAGACATGCGTCACCATCTGCTACCATCACATTTTTGTTGAGAGCAGCTTTAATCTGTATGTATGCACACACACGTCCGAGGAGAACATCCCAAAGATTTAAACGCTTATTTCCAGGGGGTACAGACAAACCCAGGCTGGGAAGCAGGCAGAGAAGGTGTTGGCTGGCCCTATGCTTGTGGGAAAGAGCCTGGCAGCTGTGAGTCCCGCAGGCTGGGACACTGTGGGCTGAGCACGCAGACACAGTCGTGTGTGACTGGTTACGGCGTCCCTGCCTGCAGAACTTCCCAGCGAAATCTTTCACTCTGTGCACAGATGACAGGGAAACACAAAGGGCATTAAAATACCCGCACAGCCCTGCTGCTGCAACAGATCCTTGCTTTCCCAAAGCTTCTCCCCTCCTGACTATATGCATTAGTTTTACAGCTACAACCAGAAGGCAGAGGTATTTTATGTTTTTGGAATTTTTTTTTTTTTGGTACCAGGGATTGAACTCAGGACCTTGCGCTTGTGAGGCAGGCAGCAGAACCACTGAGCTAAAGCCCCGGCCCAGGCAGAGGTATTTTAGCTGGGTGTGGCAGAGCTCGTCTGTAATCCTCCAGGAGGCTGAGCCAGGAGGACCACAAGTTCCTGCCCAGCCTGGGCAACTTAGCCACTTAGCAAGAACCTGTTTCAAAATAAAAAATGAAAAGGGCTGGGGATGTGCCTCAGTGTGGGGCCCAGGGCTCAATCCCAGTAGTGCAAAAACCAAAAGCAAAACCAAAGCAAAGCAGTAATGTTTCACATTCTGCTTCTCCCTTCACTGTGTCAAAAGCATTTCTGGGTTGGGCATTTAGCTCAGTGGTTCCGCTGCCTGCCTCGCAAGCCAAGGACCCGAGTTCGATCCCGGGTACCAAAAAAAAAAAAAAAAAAGCATTTCTGGTGCAGTTGCAACTTCTGCACATTTTGCTCCAGAAACCTCAGCGCCAAGGTGGAGCACAGCCCTTCCTGCGTCCATCAGAGCTGCCAGGGCAAGGGCAGCACCAGGACTGGGAGGGCATTGCGATGCAGGACGCGCAGAGCGGACAGCAAGTGGCATCTGGCCTTCCCCGCTCCATGGGATTTCAGACAGACTCCTGGCCCAAGAAAGGGACTCAGCCTCCTGCAGAAGGCTCAACCTTGAACTCAGAATGCCGTACTGCCTTCCACAGGAAAATAAGAAGTAGCCAAGTGACTGCACACAGAATTCTCTTGGAACAATGAGCTTAGAGATGGCAATGCAATCCAAGGGCAAAGAAGGTACAGGCCTGTTCTGGGCTATGGGGAAAAACCAGCCACAAGACACTGGGGACACCTGGAAGCGTGGCCGTGGGCTGAGGGATGCTCTATGGTGCAGGCACAGCATTCCCCAGAGATAGCTCTCCACTGGGGGACACAGGCAGTGATTAGGACAGCTGTCACTGTGTCTGCAGTGACCTGTGGACGGTTCAGAGAAGGCCAGCGAGTGTGTGAGCAGTGCTCACATAGGGTAGGCGCTGCTGGCCAGGGACACTCAGGTCACCACTGCCCTTTCAAAAGGGTGAGACTTTTTGAAAAGTAAAATTCCTAGAGTCTCTACTTTTTTTTTTTGTACCAGGGATTGAACTTCAGGACCTTGTGCTTTCAAGGCAGGCGCAGTGCCACCAAGCTAAATCCCCGGCCCCTACCTTTCTTAAGTGAGAGATGCTGGGTTGGGAAAGGTTTTTGGTGAGCATTTCTGATGCTCCCGAGAAACATCCCAGCATAGCTCCTGGCTGCTGCTTGTGGCCCTGCAGTGGGCATGCCACAGGCACGGTCAGAGGTGCCGTTCTGCATGCTGCAGTCCTCACTCGAGAAATATGATGGCTCCAAGACATCCCTGCACTCCCCACACAGTCCCCATGTAGTCCTGATGTGTGCTTGACCCACAAACAGAATCAAGAAAGGGCTGCTATGAAGAACCGAAAAGAAAATCTCAAGAGATTCAGGGCTGGGGTGTGGTGCAGTACAAGAGGCCATGCTTCTAGCGTGTGGAAGGCCCCAGGTAAACCTTCAGTACAAAAAACCCCTAATGCCCCAAAGCCACAGAAGCATTTAAAAATGTGACCTACCGCAGGTGCACTGAGACTCCATGTCCCAGGTGCTCTGGGTCCTTTGCTGAGACCAGGCATGCAGCCTTGTCAGGCACCAAGTGACAATGCCCACTTGAGGCAAGCCCGGCCACACTCCCTAGTGCTCCTCTCGGCCTCTGTCTCTGCAGAGCTGTGGGTGAGCCCAGGGCCGCCGTACGCATGCTAGGCGGCTGATCCAGCGCTCAGCCCCAGCTCCACGGGGTCCAAGTCTTCCTTCTCCTTTGAATTCAGTGCCATCCTGGCCCAGGCACCTTCACCTTGGGACCTTCACCTGAGCTCAGCACTATGCCTGCCCCTGCTGAGCTGTGCCATAGCCACGCCCTCCTGACCACTTCCTGGCTGACCCCTGCAGCCAGTACCTGTGTATCTGTGCGCTGGGGGCCCACAGGGGCCACCAGCAGACTCACGGCAATGCCTGTGTCCCAGGCAGGAGAGGAGCTGGGCTGCCAAGCCTTGTCAGCCCAGAGGGTCTTTGTGGGGGAGTCCAGCTCACATGTTTCTGGCCACTGTACCCCCAGTGACGATGATGACATGGCCGTCCTTCAACGTACCTCTACACTGAAAGGGCTCTCCTCAAGTTTTCCAACTTCGGTTTCGGGCAGAGGATTTTTCAAGGTTTGTAAAAATAAAGCCGCTTTTCTTTTACGTTCTGCCTGGAGCTGTTTTTCCTTTGATTCCTTGGACGCCTGGGCAAGCTTCTCCCGGGCAGCAGCTGCGAGGCGGTCCTCCAGCTTCTGCTTTGCTAAGGGAGCAATGAGAAAGAAGTGGAGCAAGGAGCAAATGTGTTCATTCTTCCATCTCACTTTCCTAGCATCAACTGGCCACCACACACGCAGTTATTCAGAGAGGAACACGACACAAAGAGCAAGCTGGGCAGACAAACACTTCCTGAGAGGAAGAGCTTATGAGGGTGCCTTTCAGGCGGGGCAGGGTGCTGGCTTTCAAAGTGAGCAGGCTGCCAGGGCCCCACACGAGTGGAGGCTGGGAGAAGGGCTCACCTGGGAGCACCCCAATGAACCACCCCCCGAACACTCATGGCGGGCAACGGCTCTACTAGAAGCGTCTCATCCCAAGGACTGGAAGGCTTGGAGCAGACACTCAGGGAGTGCAGGTTTGGGCACGGGCCAGGTCACGGGCACGGGCACTGTCGGTGCTAGACAGGAAGCACGGGGGCTGGAGTTCCCTCTCCTAAGTGTTGCTTGATCTGTCTGTGTGTACACAGAAAAAGCAATGCAAGAAACCAGGATAGATAAACCCCGCAAATACAGCTGTGATTAACTCCTTGAATGCAGGATATCATTTATCTGGGAGCAGCACCACGCTGCAACCCAGGAAGACGAGGCAAGCTGAGAACTTCCCCACACATATTGTCAAGGGCTGATGGTTCTGCTGAGAGACAGTCTCCCCAGAAGGGCATGGAAGGGCATCTCCCAAGGTGGTGCGGACCGGAGCTGGGAGTGCAGGCTGAGCCTTGCCCTGGGGCCGTGTCAAAACTCGGAGGCCTCCATGAGAGCTGACGTCTACCAGACAGATTGGCAGGGGCACTGCGGCTGTGCTCACGAGGAGGACGGCTCACAGTTCAGACATGCACACAATGCCCACATGGCTAAGCGCAGGCTCAGAATTTCCGGTTTAGCAGCCAGATCTCATATTTACATCTTTTCTTTCTTTTGAGAACTTTAAAAGCTAGCGACAAACCTTGCTTTGCTTCTAGCTCCTCCTGGGTAAGTTGGGGCTTCTTTTCCTCGACAACTACACAGGGCGGGGCCGCAGCTGGGCTAGTGTTGGCAGCACTACTAGAACTTTCTTGGCCTTCTTTGCTTTCTTCATCATCATCACTGTCATCATCTAGCTTAACTCGGTTTTTTTCCAGGGGAAGTAGATCATTTTCTTTTGCCTTGATGGCAAAGCTTATTGGAGCAAATGAAGCTATTGAGAAAAGGTGAGAAGTGTGATACATTTTTAGGGAACCAGAGCACAGAGCAGAACTGTCACAGGCCCTACCCCTAGGGTGAGCGTGGCGGTGCAGGCGGCATCTGCAGAGGAGCCGCACCGTATATGGGGCTCTGTGGCAGGAGGGCACCTGCAGTGTCCCAAGGCCCTGCTGAGATGTCCTCTGCCTGCGGCCAGGCTGGGTGAGCCCTGGAGCACACTCAGCACAGGGCTCGCACTACAGCTGCGGTCGACCCTAGACAAGATGGCCCGTGTGGCCACAGTGTCACCATGGGCCGTAGCAGGGACACATGCTGAGCGCCAGAGGGGGTTACCTGCTACCTCAGACAGTCAATTCATGTCATTTTCCTTTTTTAAAAAGCTCATGGCTCACCATGTAACTGAATTTGCATAACAGGCATATGGTGCAACTCCGCTCTAAAAGGGTGTCTTTACAAAGTCCCGACTTAATGAAGCAGCCTATTTTTACACAGCACGAGTGACAGAGCCCTCTCCTCCACTGGTGACATTTTGCTAGGTGCCCACTTCACGACAGGTGTCACGTTAGACCAGGCCCCATGACTACAGGAAAACTAAGACTGGCATAAGAATTTGGGCGGCACAATTTATTTGCCATAGGATACTTGGAAAACCTAAGAGAATGATAAAGGGCCCAAAGGGGAACATCTTCCCAGCCCCACCCCCAGCAAGCCCTGAATCCGTTCTTTCAGACACTGCCAACGGCTCTAATAACAGCTAACTGGGTGCAGTCAGATGCTTTCTACTTAAAACACCACTGAGCTATGACATATGCAGGGTATTTAAGTAAGCCACGATCCGGAAATTTCCAGTGCACTGCAGCCAGTGGCTCTCGGAAGGGAGTGACTGTGGGAAGTAGAGGCACGGCCTGGGAGGGTGGAGAGTTGCTGGACAGCTCCACTGCAGGGCTCTCAGCCTCAGTGCAGGGGTCACCTGCTGCCTCCTGATCCACATATGGTATGAAATAAAGGCCAAGCCCAAGCCAGCCCAGATCTGTGACACACAGGCACCTGTCACAGACAAGCAATCAGGGCCAGCGGTTCCTGGAGAAGAGCGGGTGGCCATGCACTCTGCCCACGCAGTGCCATCCACGTTCCCAGGAACTGGAGCCCACGGGGCTGCACAGAGCCGAGTGAGCTCTGTGAGGACGCCTGCTGCACAGAGCCCTATGTAGGGAAGCAGTTACTGCATTACACACTGTTTTCGTACATGTACGATGTTTTCCATGCTAAGCAAAGTTTAACAAAATGAACCCATCGCTGCCATTGCAACACAGTCTTTTTAATAAACGAAGGGTCAAGGAACATTTTAAAAGGACAGAAAACTTCACATAAAACATTAATGAAATCACTCAATGTGCTAGACTAAGATATATGCAGAATGTTTTAAAAACACACAGCATCTCTTCCCTCACAATAGAGAAGACAGCAATCAACAAGTACAATGTTGGGCCAGGGATTTAGCTCAGTGGCACCACACCTGTTTTGCAAGCGCAAGGTCCTGAGTTTGATCCCTCGTACCACAAGTATAATGTTGAAATGAACACCCCGGAGTGCATCCTGCCAGTATGGGGCACACAGGGCCTTACCCCACATTGCACAGGCCTAGCACGTGGCTGAGGGACTCACTCCATGGTGGAGTGAGCTGAGGCAGGATATGGCTGACCGCAGCCTCGTCCTGGCTCCCTTGCTCACCGATGACAGGACAGACTCCCATGCGACAGATGCTCTCTGCAGATCATATGGGGGGCCCTTCGGACAGCCATTGCCAAAGGGTTTTCCACTGAATTACAGATGGACCCAAGTGTCCTTCCTCCTGAAGAGACCAAGGTCCCATCACCTGCACTCCTTCTGCCGAGAGCTCTGCTTTTCTGGCTGGCTCCAGTGCCCCTCCGGCGGCTGCCCACCCTCTCCCAAGCCCCTGGCCTGGGGCAGGCTAACATGAGTTGCTGTGAGCCCCAAGCAAATCCTCCACCTTCCACATAAAATAGGCTTCTACTTCTGAGGCAATGCCTACTGTTAATCCCTAACTTCAAAAGCAACACACTCCAGGGCTGGGGATTTAGCTCAGTGGTTCTGCCGCCTGCCTCAAAAGTGCAAGGTCCCAAGTTCGATTCCCGGTACAAAAAAAAAAAAAAAAAAAGCAACACACTCTCAAGGGGAGGCTACGGAAATATGAACGAACAAAGCAGAACTTCAACTTCAAGTCCGGAAACAAAATCACCTGAACACCCTCAGTGGGTGTTCTCTAGCTGTGCAAGTGTGCATGTGCATATGCACAACTGGACCATGCCTTGGTGTCACAACCGCTGTAACACTTTGTAGCAACATCTTTCCTTGTGAACAGGGTAGAAATGCTACCATGTGAAAAAGCGACACTTCTTAGCATGGATGCTGCAGCTGTGGCTCGGTCTCTGCATGCTGAGCACTGTCTGAGCCGGGCTCTGGCTGTGCTGCCCGGGCCACCTTGACTTCCGGGCTGGAACACATGTGCCACCACCCCTGCCTGAGTACTTGTTTTCAAAAGGATACATTAAAAGAGGTATTTACTGGGTATTTTTCTTCTTTTCTGAACCATCTTTTTCTGTCCTCTGTCTACTTTTCTCCTGTGGCGATCAACATCCCTTACTGATTTATAAGAGCCCCTGCTACAGCGAGGGCATTAACCTTTCTCTTCTAGAATGTCAGCAATTCTTCCCAAGAGACATCTGCCACTTAACTTTATTTAGGCCCTGCTTCTAACAGATTTATCTCTCCTTATGACTGACTTCAATTCTTAGGGAGTCCTTTTCAATTCCCAGATTATAAAAAAAATTACCTTTATTTCCTTCTATTTTTATGGTTCTTTTTTTAACATTAAAATACTGAATTCATTTGGAGTTGTGTGATGTCTTATTTCATTTTTGATCAAAGGGCAAAGCCTGTTTTTCCAGCTTCATTACTATTCTGAAGAAATTTCTTCACGGAGATTTCCAGAGACGAGGATGCTCAGTGGTCTCCATCTGCTAACGTGGTAACTGTGACAGCAGATGGGTGTGGAACCAGGCCGGGGCTCCTGGGACGAGGGCCGTAACTACTCTCCCAGGTAACAGCTCAGCATCGCTGCTGCACGTGGCCATGGTCTGCAGCCTGCCAGGCTGAGCCCCAAGCCCGTCCCTCCTGCTCCACGTGGCAGTATTGAGGGCGCTCTGTCTTGAGGCAAATTAGCCAACCCTCACCTGGCCGGTCTCTGCTCTGCTCTGCTCTAGGCCCACAGATCACCGTGCTTCTTATCTCTTCTTGGGCCAATCTCAGCATTCACATTTTCTGTGTTTCCCACTGGTCTTCAAAGGCAGTCAGATTTACGAGTGTGTGTGTGTATATATATATATATATATAAAATCTCCGTGTACTTTTAAAAAAACATGTAGTTTTTCTCGCTCATTTGTATCTCTGGACTTGCTTTTTACTGAACATGCCTGGTGACTGGGCATTTCCTGGTCTTATTATTTCCTCATGAATTTCTGCTTAGATTTTTTACTGGTTCCCCCCCATTTCCCGCACCTCAGTTTCCTCCTGGGCTCTCTCTCTCCTTTCCCTCCTGTTTGGTGCTGGGATCGCGAAGGGCCTTGGGGATGATGAACACACTCTCTACCACTGAGCTACCTCACCCAGCCCCTCCCTGGGTTCCGGAGTTCGGTGCATGCCTTTGAGTAAAGTCTCCCCCAGCCCTTTGTCGAGTTGCCCAAGTGATCCTCTTGTCTCAACCTCTTACCGTGTGGCTGGGTTACAGGCATGCAGCACCATGCCAGGAGCATTTACTAATCTCTGATACGCAGGCCTTCCTTGTCCGTGGCTCTGTGGCCATGGTTTCAGAGTGCTGGCACGCCTAAGCTCCCTGCTCCAGCACTGGCAACACTCACTCCACACTCCAGAGAGGTCTTCATCACAAAGCTTCCCCCCAACAACCCCTGCGACAGCGAGTGGACGCGCTGGCCGTCTTCCTGCCCCTGGGAGGACAGCCTGCCACTATTCTGCCTGGATGTCTCTTCTTCCACACCTGTCCTTTTCTTGTGAAATTTCTGGGAAACTGAGGCTGTCTCTCATCCAATCTGATTTCAGTGTTTTCCTTGTGTTTTAAGCTTGCAGTTTACTTCTAAGCAGTCTTCTGCAGAGGAGTCATCAATTGGGCTAGTTTCACAACACTTTTAATTACGAGAACAGAGATTACTGATGAGAACAACCTTCCCGTCCCTCCAGATGCGCTTCAGAGATTCCTCGTGTGTCGATCAAACCTTGGGCTCAGGACGCACAGGGACCCGGAGTGCACTTCCCCTGCTGGGTCACAGGACGAGCTGGCAGGGGTGCTGTGTGCATGGCCTTCCTGGGGGCTGCCTCTGGGGTGGTCCCCAGCATGTCCTGCCTGACACCCTCTGCACTGACAGTGGCTCCCTGTGGTCAAGGCCTCTGAATCCCAAGCTGTCTTTCCCTTTCTGTGAACCAAGCCCCAGGCCAACTGTTCCGACCAAACAGTGGCCTGGCCCTGATTTCTGCAGTGGTGCTTGCTGCCGCCCCCTACTCAGTCTGTGCCTTTGTTTGCATCACTGAGAGCCAGGAAGGGCAGGAGATGAATGCGTGTGCTCAGGAAGCATTGTGGATAGTGACTGCCAGTGACAGCTTGGTTCCCCCCACAAAGGCCCCTCTGAAGGCAGGCGCTGTCGCCCGTTCACTTCTCTCCTGCTACAGCTCCCTCCCAGGTCCTTGTGCCACCAACACCCTCTGACAGGCCCCCTATGTGCCGTGTACACACACTTTCGCACACTGTGCCCAGGTCACTAAGCACCCAAGCCCTGTGTCAGCTCCCTGTAGGTCTCGACACCTTTCTGCACAGCCCCATTCCCTCCTAGTAGACAACCGTCTGGTCCCCTGCCTTTCCTGCAGCAGCCCCCAACACAGACACCCCTGGGACAGAGCAGGGTGGCTAAGCGAGGGCGACAGCGAGGGTGAGCACTGGCTGCTGGAGGTGCTCAAGGGATCCCCTGACTAGGAAGAACGTGAACTTCCCCGTGCCACTGTCTGCACGTAAACACAGCCGCACAAGTCTGCAAGGGATGGAACCGTACGTGAAGATTTATAAACATTTCCACAGAACTGCTCAGAACAGGCTGCTGAATAAACACAGCCAGGACCAGCTTTACCAACTGGGCTGTAGCCCGGCCTGCCCCATGCAAGGGTGCATCGCCTCACCTTTCACCAGCTTCCCGTCCACCACACCCTTACTGGACGCTGCATCCTTCTTCCCACTGGGGCCACCTCTGCCCCCTGCCTCAGCGGCATCCTCAGGCACAGTGTCCTCCCCAGCATCACTTGGCTTCTCCGGAGCAGCGTCTGAGGGGGCCTCTTCTGGTGCAGACACAGGCTGTAGGATCAGACATCAAACATACATGTTACCACACAGGAGCACGTCTGCCTTTCACTGGACACAGAGACGGGAGGAGGGGAACAGCCGAAGCTGCCGCTCCTGCCCCTGACCCAGGCCGCAACGCCTTTCCTTGGAAGCCTGAGTAGTGAGGGCACTTTCAGAATCCTAAATCATGCCCAGCGCCTGCTGATGGGTCAATTTTCTTCAGTTTAAGCAACTAGAGATAAAGGTTTCAGAAACCTACTGATAAGCAGGGCCTCCATGTCTCTGAGATGAGCTCACAGTGAATGTCAGGGTATCTGCGCCGTGAGGAGAGCGAAGGCAGAGGGTGGGCTACTGTGTGGACATGGAAAGGCACTGCTGACAGGGTTGGGCAGGTGGTGGTGTCCAGGCACAGGCTCGAGGCTGGCGGCTGGCAGCCCTGGCACTTATAGCACATAGTGGAAGTGACCGCTGCAGGCACTTGTTCAGTGAACACAAGGGCAGTCCTTGAATCTGCTCCACGGGAGCTGCACGGAACCAGCGGCCAAGATGACCAGTGCATGAAGAAACGGAGTTTTAATGTTTGGAACATCTGAGACAAGCAGTTCCCAACACACTATGACCCTGTGGGGGCGTTTTGGCAGAGCCAGCCCAGGTCTCTCTCTGGGAGGAGGGGACAGTACAGGCCAGGAACGGGGCAGACACTGCTGGCCAGATGACACCTTCAGCCGCTGACAGCCCAGGGTCTCTGCCACCTCTGCAGGTGGCCTCTGTCCCAAGGCTGGACACGCGTACCTGTGTGCTGTCGCCCCCTTCCTTCTGGAGGAAGAACTGCTTTTTAAACTCATAGTAGGTGTTGTATTGGTGCCATGGCTGCAGGAACTCAAACCTGTGGATGGAAAGCAGATAGCACCAGGTCCCAGGGAGCCTCCAGAGCCGTGCATTGAGGACGCTCCACAGTAACCTGCAGCGGGGGGCACAGCCGCACCCTACACCCCAGGGAGACTGAGGCATGGGTCACGATGCGGAGCAGCTGCACGTTCACACTTTACTACTTACTACAAGAGGCACAGACCATGATTCAGCTTTTAAAGCAAGTTTTGTGCCTAGATTTCCAGGTGGACCCTTACGAAGCAGGAAGAGCAGCTTTTCATCTCTGGCAGCCCCACACTCATTTAGCAGCTAAACACCCTCCAACTCTTTAGTAATTTAACAAGGCACAGATACGTTTATCTAAAGATATTCACACCAAGAAAACGGTAAAACAAAGAAAGAAATTACATGGCTAGATTTTTTTATTTGGTAATGAGGATTGACTCTTTTTTAGACAGGGTCTCATTACGTAGATCAGGCTGTCTTTGAACTCACTAGGTAGCCCAGGATGGTCTCAAAGTCAAGGCAATTCTCCTGCCTCAGCCTCCCAGAGTTCTGGGATTATAAGTGCGTCCAGCTACTTGTTCAGATTTTTTAAAAAACTAAGCAAAACCCCCAAATCACATTTACCAACATGCTTAAAAACTCTTTTCTTTCGTTGTCGGTGCTGGGAATAGAACCCAAGGGCTTGGGCATGCTACTCCAGTGCCCCACCACGGAGTCAGGCCCCTAGCCCAGCGCTTCAAACTCTGCCTCTCACCTCTGGTCGTTCTTGGCGCGAACACTGGTCTCAAATTTAAGGCCATTCCGAGCGACGTACTCTGCCAGCTTGTCAATCACAGGCTGAATGTCGGGGGGTGGGGGGATGATGGCGGCCACAGGAGCAAGAGCACTGTGGGGAAGAGCGTGGTGAGCCACCTCCCGTCCCCAGCGGGAACATGAGAGTCACAGACGACACCTGTGGGAGACTCTGAAGACGACAGGTCCCCAACACTAACAGGGCCAATGCATTGCTGCCAACAGTAACGATACGGACTTCTATGGAAGAGCAAGCCTAGGAGGGGAGAGCCACGGGCAGGCGCAGTCTCAGCCCAGTGAACACCCCCACCTTGCGCTACCTCTGAGAACCACCCAACGTGGGCCACCTGCGAATGTTTTGTCACATTAGAAGGCAGCACAACTCCAGACCCTTCCTGCCTGGCTTTCTCAGCACAAGTGGCAAAGCCATTCCTGCCAGGTATCTGGGGGCTTTGCTGGCTTTCCCAAGAGCCTCTGCTGAACGAGAGACAGAGCACCTTGGAACCCGCCTGTGGGCGCTGAGCACTCTTGGGTTGTCACCGGCTCACCCTGTCCCCACATGGCTCGTGAGCTAAGGGGGGGCCAGCCGTAGGAACCCTGCACTCTGCTGACTGCCTCAGGCTCAATCCTGGAGCTGGATGAGGACAGCCTTGGGGCACAGGAGCAGGGCGGGAGTGCGCTGAGACTTATGCTTCCAAGTGGCCAGACTTCACTGCTGAGAGCATTTCCTCTCTCTTTTAAGATAAGGTCTTGCTGACTAGCCTTGACTGGGCTCAAACTTTCAACACTCCCACCTTGGCCTGCCACATAGCTGGATCGCAGGCACGCGCTGACATGCCCAGTTTCTTGGGAACTCTCATGTTTGTCAATCTTGCCTTTGAGGTGTGGGCATGTACAATGACTGCTCTGCTGACGGAGGTGGTGCACAGTCCTGGGGCCCGGCCCAAGCACGCACCTTGTGGTGGTGGTGGTAGGGGTCACCCCACTGCTTGTCTCGGCGGTGGTTGGTGGTGGCGGTGGCGTGGTCCCAGGGGGTGGTGGTGCGGTGGTCGTCACTCCAGGGGAACTGGACACGGTCACCCCGGCAGGCAGCGTGCTGTAGTAGGTGGCCACGTTGATCCCTGGGGGCGGTGGTGCCAGGCAGTAGGTGCCGTCGGGCAGCATGTAGTAGCTGTAGTACATGGCTGCCACAGGTGCTGTGGGGACAGCAGGGTGGTTGAGCAAGGGCGGGGTGGATCCCGGCGCCCACAGCCACACAGGACACAGTACAGCACCGCCAGCAGTGCCCTGACAGCCAGGGCTGAGCAGGAGGGAACGGGCACAGGGATGCCCCAAGCGCCACAATGGCCCTCCTGAGACCACACTCCCCAACTTGGAACGTGCTGGGGAAGGCTCTCTGGGAGCCACTGGTTGCCCTGCTCCTGCACAGCTGGCCAGGTGACGTGGGTATGTGTGGGCATGGGAGGGCCCCGCCTCGGCCCATATTCTCTGGAACCTCCCCTTCCCACAGGACCCAGTTCCTGCCACACCGATGCTCTGGGTCAGTGCTGCCCTGCATGATGACCTGCACGTGCGGTTCCCACGGGCACCTGGCGTCCTGTCGTCAGTGGCAGTGCACACAGCTTCTATGCTCTTTGTGCGTAAATGCAAGGGTTGGAGGATCCCTGTGCACTGGCTAATACTCAGCAGTTCCGAAAGCTTCACATTTCCTTTCTGGAAAATGTTCAAAGCCAGTGTCAAGCACAGGCTGAAAGATGTAACAAGGATTTCTATTTGTAATCCTGTTGCAGGTAAGCAGGGGTTCTGGCTGCACAGAGTCCAATTTCCCCTTCATTCAGGGACAGCAAAAGGATTTTTCCAATGAATGAACCGTATTTTGATTTTCACCTGGTTCACTGGAAAAGTTAACACTGAAACAAACAGGCAAACCCTGCATGCAAGGCAGGGAAACGCAACAGGCGCATTAACACCACTGCTTTTGTCAAGAACACACGGCTGGCCCCTCCGCCGTCACTCTGCAGCTCAGTGTCAGTATCTCAGGGACCAGGGAGACCCAGAAGAGCACCACCCTGACACTTCAGAGCAGGATCTGGCCCCGGGGCAGTCTCCACACCCACCTCACACAGCAGGCAGCACCCAGGCACCAGGCCCCAGGACATCACAAGGCCACGGCCCAGCCACCGTGGGCGGAAGGTACTGAGGGCGTGGGCAGCACAGCTCCGCGCTCGCCTCGCCTCTCTAACCCCTCGCCTCGCCTCTCTAACCCCGCACCCGCACAGTGTGTCAGACCAAGGACACGACGCCACAGGACAGGATGGGAGGGCTCAAGTGCAGGCTTTTCCTGGGAAATCAGGCCCAACACCCTCCCTTGGGTACAGTGTCCTCCGCAGGACTGAGTTCCTCCTCCACCCACTGCCCTGCTAACAGTCAAGTGGCCACAAAGCCTCCTCAGAAGAGGAAGCCAAGTCCCCGAAGGGCTGTGCCCCCACCCCATCCTCGAAGGGTGCTGGTGTCTCTCTCTGGAGATGAGGACCCACTCCGGGTGCACCCCAGAAGGGAAGCTAAGCCCAACCTGTCCTGGCCTAGGAACCCCAGGATATCCAAACTGTAGCGGAAACAAGGCATTCCAGTCCTAGGAACAAAGAGAGCACCTTGTAATGAAGCACCAACTAACTACATGGTGCAGCCCCCAACACTTTCTGCACGGAGCGCAAGCGAACGCGATGCTTTCCCTCCAGTGCCGCTGTGCAGGGCGGACCCTGCCCCAGAGCCCCCCATGTCTCAAAATGTTCCATGCAGCGGAAGGTACAATGTTAAAAGCACAGCGGAGCTTGCGGTGAGAAACAGACTGTCTCCAGGTATGAAAAGAGACAAAAGCCCAGACCTGAAAATGCCTCCTGGATGAGCCCTAGGCAGGCAATGCTCTCGGGACAGCCATGGGTCCGCAGAGCGGCACAGAGCAGCCAAAGCTGAACACCGGGCCGTGTCTGCCGGTGGACAACCTGCTGCACTTGCATTTCAGTAAGCTCCTACCCTTTCCCTATGATGCTGTAATCACATGCTGCAGAGGTGAACTGGAACACCCTGGCATAGTGCCGCACGCCTGTGATCCCCGCACTGGGGAGGCTGAGGCAGGAGGATCATGGGGGAGTTCGAGGCCAGCCTGGGCTACCTAGTGAGATCAAGACCAGCCTGAACTATATAGCGAGACCTTGTCAAACAAAGCTCCCCCAAAGAAACAGATCTGAACAGAACTGTACCTACTAAAGAGGAAAGTGAATCACAGTTAAAAAGAAACACATACCCGCGGTATTTTTAAGAGGACTCATATAAAAGAAACCATGCAATATTGGAGCTTGTGTCTGATTTAATTCACTCAGGGGGTCTTATGTCGCCTAGGAGGGGCCAGGAACTCTCGGCCTCATGCCCAGCTCTCATGTAGCTGGGACAACAAGCATGTGGGACTGTGCCTGGCCAGCACTGGGTTTAAATGGGTTGAATGTGATGCTCTCTAATGAACACACTGAGGGCACTGCACCAGCTCAGGGGGACATCAGCAGTGCCTGCTGTCTTCTGAGAAGCAGCCGGCTCTGGAAAGGGAAGCTGCTGGCCGCACCCAGAGCACCGGGCCGCACCTCCTCACCAGCAAGGAGGCACTGATGATCGTCTCCCCAAGCCCTCTATCTCACCAGCTTCCTGCTAAAGGTCTGAGAAGTTCTGCTTTTTGAAGTTCTATGGCGGGAAACAAGTGCACTTTTTTATTTTTGGACAGTACAGAGGGTTGAACCCAGGGACCCTGCACTGAGCTGCAACCCCAGTGCTTTTCATCTTTTACTCTGAGACAGGGTCTTGCTAAGTTGCCCAGGCTGGGCTTGAACTGGCAACCCTCCTGTCTCAGCCTCCCAGAGTGCTGGGATGACCAGCTCGCATCACACCTTCCTAAGGCACGCCTCTGACATTAGTGAAAGGACATCCTCACACGTTTGCTGCTGAGTGTCTGAGAGGCAGCGGTGAATCAGCTCCTCACCTGCACACAGCCATGCACGGCCGCTCTGAGCCGCCCCAGGCCAGGTCCCCGTCTGCACCAGGCCTCTCAGCCTCCCTTCCCGGATCTCTAAATTGTCTGGCTGACATGCATCTCAGAGCCTGTCTGAGTGCCACGACTCTAAATCCCTCTACTCTTTTTTTTTTGTACCGGGGATCGAACTCGGGTCCTTGCGCTTGTGTAGCAGGCATTGAAACCACTGAGCTAAATCCCCAGCCCAAAATCCCTCTACTCTTGATGCCTGCAGAACTGGTCCCAGCCAAGCCACACCTGCGCCTGCGATTAGTGCCCACTCCGAACCCCATCTGGACAGCTCTGTGTACTTCACAGCAATGGTGTCCAGCAATCTTGGGATTTTCTCCACACCTCTTCATGACACCCCTCTGTGCAGACCCTGTACAGGCCTCTGCTCAGCCCTGGTGCCCCTGCACACTGTGGCCAAGGCCCTGCCCGCTTCCTGGCCTGGAAGGCCACAGTCCCCTGCCTGTGCTCCACTCAGGGCCTCCATCCAGCACAGCAGCCTCCCTAGCCCCAGGGCATCAGCGGCACTGATGTCCCTGGGCCTCACCCCCTTGTCCCCACTACCGCCTGCCCTGTGCCTGGTCCACAGCTGCCCCTCATCTGCAGACCACCTGCCCAGACCCCCAGTGTTCCGACGCTGTGCAGAGTGCTGAACCTAGGAGGAACCACGTCCTTGTAGACAGACGCACCCAGGACAGCAACCAGGACAGAAACCAGGAGCAGCAGGAGGCCAACACCAGAACCAAGAACAGCACGATGATGACTGAGCAGGGGTGGACAGCCTCTCTGCCCCTCTGCCCGTCTCTCCTGCACTGGGCTCACCTTTTCAGGTGACAGTGCCTTGTGACAGGACAGGTGGGGATGCCCAGGTGAGGGCTGTCTGCAGAGCGCATGGTGACCTCTGAGGCAGTGCACAGGAACTCCCAGGCCGGAGGTGTGCCCCGTGCTGACCCACTGGATGAACGGGCAGTGAATTCATGTCCTGGGCGGGAAGCAGTGGAACATGCATGGCTGAGATCTTAGGGTCAGGATGGCGCTCACAGTTTAAAAATCTAAGAACCGTTTATTTCTGGAACTTTCCAGTGAGTTTTCAGACTGTGAGGGCCTGCTGTGTGCTTGCTGTGCAGTGCTGCCTCTGAGAGGGGCTCTCGGACATGGAAGGGGCTGCGTGTGTCCTGGAACGTGCATTTCTGGGGTCACGCAAACACGGGAGGAAATGAGACCAGGAAGAGCAGAGGCTTCTCACAGAGGACAGCACTCCAGGGAGACGGTGGGCAGGACACCCCAGCTCCCCATCAGTGCTTCAGAGGTCCAAGGGATCACACACACGTCCTCCTGTGCACCCTTCCCTGGCGAGTTACGGGAGGACGTGCTCCGGCAGAACTCAGGACAACAGGACTCCACGCAGAGAGCATGGGCGGACGCTCAGACACACAGCTGCATGCACAGCACTGGTCAGGATGTGGGGGACAGGCGGCACCGTCACAGTCACGTTACTGCCCCTCTCCAGACAGCTCAGCAAGGAAGGACGAGCAGGTTCCCGTGGCCACGCAGGGCACCTCAGATGGGCCCTTCTGACACAGGTGTGGGCGATGCGATCGCACAGTTGCAGAGTGAGGCTGCAGAGGATGCTAACCCTGGGTGTGAGCGAGCGTAAGCATCTCTCCACAGAGGACAGCAGGGGAGATGCTGGAGCGGGGCTGGAGCAGGCACTCAGCGTCAGAGGTGCGTGCTTGGGGTCCCAGAGTAGCAGTGTGAGCCATGGCCAGACACACTCTCCATAAACACCATTTACTACTTGATTTTCAAAGGCAGATAAATATTACTGGCTAAAACACAGACTTAGCGTTTGCTAATTATGATCAGAGAGTGCCGAGCATTCTGCCCACTGCCCACGCTCCTATACGTGGGGCTGAGTTACAGAACACCCTCCCCTGAGCTCCTCTTCAGTGCACGACTCTGCTGCCAGCATGTACTCAGCAGGGACTTGGGTCAGAGCCAGTCTGGTGCCAGGAACTCAGCAGTCACATGTCCAGCAGGTCAGACAAGTGCTGAGGACAACGCGATGGGAGGATGGGGAGGTGCTGCAGGCAGGTGAGGGTGGAGCAAGGTCCTGCCGCCAGGACCCTC